ATTGGATGCATAAGTTTAGTTTGTTATAAAGAAAAAGAATCTACACTACAGGACTAAAATACTGTGTACTGGAATACTGTACTGGACTAAAAAGATCTATATATCAGCAAAGTGTGTCAAATTCTTGCAGTATAGAGTGTAAACAATCTGAACTATTTTGTTGCTTTGCTTTAAATGAGTATATGCAATAGTAATGCTTGAGTCTTAAACTGATGCAGGGCTTAGCAAACAGAAGGACTGGTGCAACAAGTGTAAACGCAGAGAGTTCGAGGTCTCATTGTGTATTTACTTGTGTTGTCGAGTCCCACTGCAAGGTAGGCTGTTCTTCTTTATTACATAGTTCAAATCAATTGGCAACTGCAAGGTTTTAAGAACAGGCTATGAGGCTCAGATGCTTACTAGTGTAGCAATTATTTAGTTAATTTTATTTTGTGTTGATGTCAATCTAGATCTAAATGTATTTGAATGTGATATGTAACAGAGTGTTGCAGATGGTCTAAGCAGCTTCAAAACAAGTAGAATAAATCTTGTTGATCTGGCTGGTTCAGAAAGGCAAAAGTTAACCGCTGCAGCAGGGGATCGTTTGAAGGAAGCTGGGAATATAAATCGATCACTTTCTCAACTTGGGTAAGATCAGAATAATCTACGAATAGATAGGCTGCTTATTAATTTTCTTTTTCCAGTTGATCCTGCATTTTTTCCTTTGTCTTGAGAATATGTTTGATTTCTTAGCCTGCATTTGAATCTCGATTTTGTTGATATAGACTAAAGAAAAGAAAAGCTTAGGGAAAAGAAAACAAAATTTGAAACTGATGGTTGTAACTTCTGACTTCTAGGCCAGATCTTTTACCTTGACATTTAACCGATGTGATGCTATACAGACTGAAACTGAGATAAATGTAACCCACATGAGTTTTTACATGCAGGAATTTGATCAACATTCTCGCAGAAATTTCTCAAACAGGGAAGCAAAGGCATATACCCTACCGAGATTCCAGGTTGACATTTCTACTGCAAGAGTCTCTTGGTGGGAATGCAAAGTTAGCTATGGTTTGTGCAGTTTCTCCCTCCCAAAGGTAAATCAAGAACCCATACGAGTATCACATAAGAAATATGTCTTCAAAATATTATTTTACCCTCCATTTTTTCTGATAAAAAAACGGCATCACATATTGCAGTTGTAGAAGTGAAACCTTCAGCACCTTGAGATTTGCTCAGCGTGCAAAGGCGATACAGAACAAGGCTGTTGTCAATGAAGTAATGCAGGATGATGTAAATTTTTTGCGGGAAGTGATACGGCAGCTGAGGGTATGTATTCTTTTGCGTATCTCATAAAATATAGATACAACCCAACTAATGTAATATCTAATGTAAACCGCACAGGATGAACTGCAAAGGGTGAAGGATAATAATAACAACCCAACTAACCCAAATGCATCTTACGCCACGTCATGGAATGCGCGTAGAAGTCTAAGTTTGTTAAGAAGCTTTGGCCTGGGTCATCCCAAGTCGTTACCAAATGGAGATGATGACGGGGATACTGAGATGGAAATTGATGAGGAGGCTGTTGAAAGGCTTTGTGCTCAAATGGGCTTATCTCCACCTGCCGAGGACAACAATCAGGACATGAGCAGAGTAGAGAAGATAAAGTCATCATTACAAACTGTGGCCTTAAAGGATGATTCTTACAACAACTCCCACCTTAAATCATCTGAAGTCCCATTTACAGGAAAGAAATTTCCTGAAGACACAGATGTTAACATGGAGGACGCGAGTTGCCAAACTGAGAACAGTGGGTCAGAGACTGATAATGCGTTAACTGTGGCAGATACTAGCATCACAACAGATCAGATCAAAGTGGCTACACAAACTATGGATGATGGTTCAGGTGTACAGCCTACTCCCATAACCAATTCTCTTCATTCTTGTATTAGCGACAGAAACCAGGGAAATTCACCAAGCAAGGTGGAGAACATTCCATTATGTCACGACTTGGTTCTCGAAGCTGATGCTTCTGCAATTGTATCAGTAGCTGATTTATCAAATGATGCAGAACAGGTCTCAGTAAATCCTGTGTCTCCTTGTCTTAGCATAGATCCAGTAAGTGTTTCTCCTGTTCTAATACCTCCCACTGAGAGTGCCTCTCCTAAGATTAGAAATAGCAGGAAAAGCCTGAGGACAATGTCAATGTCCACCGCATCACAAAAGGATATTGAGAGAGCTAATGAGTCGACTACAGAAATTGTGGAACCTTCTCCGGCTATGTCTACAGAGATGTTAAACCTATATAGTGCTTTGTCTACAAAGAAAAGTGCTGCTTTTCCTGTGCCAACTAGGCAACTGGCAGCTAGCCTCCACAGAGGCATGAAACTTCTTGACTCTTATCGCCAGAGTACAGCTCAGAGACGATCGACATTCGGATTGCCCCACAAAGCTCTAGATTGCAAACCTTCAACCGTTTTAAGTAAGGCTGATGTAGGTGTGCAAACTTATCCCGAAGCTGATATAATAGCGGAAGAGAACCCCAAAGAGGTACTGTGCAGTAAATGTAAAGGCAGTGCTGAATGTGATGACCAAGACATAAGTGATACTTCTACACTTCAGTTAGTACCTATTAACAACTCCGAAGGTTCAGAAAAGTCCAATTTCCAAGTTCCTAAAGTAAGAACTGTGATTTTCATTTTGAGCACTTCGTTCCACATTTGTATAGTGTAATAATATATTATGAGTTTTCTGCACCTTACAGGCAGTGGAAAAGGTACTAGCAGGGTCTATCAGAAGAGAAATGGCTATGGAAGAGTTCTGCACTAAGCAAGCCTCTGAAATATCACAGCTTAATCGGCTGGTATGATCCTTGCTTGGTTCTGTTAGTTAGCTTCTTTAATTTCGACGTATAAAGGCAACCTCTCTAATTGTCTCTTGGAAAATTATACAGGTGCAACAGTACAAGCATGAGAGAGAGTGCAATGCCATAATAGGACAAACAAGAGAGGACAAGATTGTTCGCCTTGAAAGCCTCATGGATGGTGTGTTATCTAAAGATGATTTCCTGGATGAAGAATTTGCATCTCTCATGCATGAGCATAAGGTAAATTTTGGGTTACCATTATTTAGAAAATTATTGAATCAATGCAGAATGATGCTTACATTATAATGCTGCAGCTTCTGAAGGACATGTATGAGAACCATCCCGAAGTATTGCAGACGAGGATTGAGTTAAAACGAGTGCAAGAAGAGCTTGAAAGTTTCAAGAACTTCTATGGTGACATGGGAGAAAGGGAAGTATTATTAGAAGAGATTCACGATTTAAAGGCGCAGCTACAATGTTACACTGACCCTTCTCTCACATCAGCTCGGAAAAGAGCTTCCCTACTCAAGCTAACATATGCTTGTGACCCTAATCAGGCTCCACCACTTAATACCATTCCTGAGGCAGTGGATGAGAGTCCTGAGAAGACACTAGAACATGAAAGACATCGTTGGACTGAAGCAGAGAGCAACTGGATCTCTCTTGCTGAGGAATTAAGAACTGAGCTTGATAACAATAGGTTGCAAATGGAAAAGCAGAAACGTGAACTGGATACCGAGAAAAGATGTACAGAAGAGTTGACGGAAGCAATGCAGATGGCAATGCAGGGTCATGCACGGATGATTGAACAATATGCAGACCTGGAAGAAAAGCATATCCAATTGCTTGCAAGGCATAGGAGGATTCGAGAAGGCATAGATGATGTCAAAAAAGCAGCAGCCAGAGCAGGAGTCAAGGGAGCTGAGTCTAGATTCATAAACGCACTTGCAGCAGAAATTTCAGCTTTGAAGGTGCAAAGAGAGAAGGAGGCACAATACTTCAGGGATGAGAACAAGAGTCTCCAATCACAACTAAGAGATACAGCTGAAGCTGTTCAAGCAGCAGGAGAGTTACTTGTTCGACTTAAAGAAGCTGAAGAAGGATTGACACATGCACAGGTACATATGAAGTTATTTTTCTAAAATCTCCCCCACATCTGCCATTTTTCAGTTATTAATCCTGTCACATGACTCTTACTTGAACCATTCTGGCTTGTGTATTCGCAGAAACGGGCAATGGATGCAGAATATGAAGCATCACAAGCATATAAAAAGATGGACAAGCTGAAGAGGAGATACGAAACAGAAACCAGCAATCACGAAATCAGCACTCTTAACCAACAACACATTGCAGAGCCACAGAATCTCGTAGAATCTTTGCAAGCTTCTTTTCATGCCGACGCTATGGCCAAATATGATGAACAGATGGAACCATCAGCAAGTTCTGGTGATCACCAATGGAGAGAAGAGTTTGAGCCAGTTTACAAGAAAGATGATGAGTTGTCAAAGCTCGCCGAACCCTCTTGGTTCTCAGGGTATGATCGTTGCAACATATAATTTCGTTTCCACAACAGTTTTTTTCTGTAATGTGTATAGAAAAAAAGAAAGACATGTTGGGGCACTTCTCTGATTCTGTGAGATTTAGATCTAAATCTTGGCACCATTCTCTTACTTGTACCTTTTTCATGTATTTCCTATGTGCTACAAACTCATTTTACAATTTATACATTTTTTTGTACTCGTCCATCTCTCATGTAAACAATGTCTTTGTTATATTCCTTGTAAGAGAATTTAAATAATCTGGCTTAGAGTAGATTTTACTTTAGACAAACCAAGACCAAGACAAGCTGAGACTAAGGTCCCTTTGTTTCTTCTTCTCTCTTCCATTTCCGATGGTTCTGATTGCTAGATTCTTCAGATATGTGACTACTACTTACAATCAGCTCCGAAAATCCTAAATGTTATGGTTATTATATTTCACTATGCTACTATGTTTTGTTCGTAAAAACCTTATCAAATCTTCAACATAATGCATAAAGATGGGAATAAACCAGTTTAATGAGAATAATCTTGTTCAAAGAGAAAGAATGAGTAAATGAAAGACATACATTATTAAGCATTGTAAATTTAGTCTTAATCATCTCGTTTTCTCCTTTTGCTTCCTTCCTCCAACATGTTGCTCATTACCAATCCGCTAAAAGTGAGTCAAGTCTCGACATGTATTCATCATATCGACGCCTTTCCAAATCGCTTTGTTGTTTCCCTTCCCCTCCTGCAGGTTGCTTGATCTGCACTAAACTTGGAACATAAGAGCACAGATTTGGCCAAGATTCTTTGTCATCAAACTCTCGCCCGAGATCCAATACCCTAAGGTATTTAGCCTCTCCAATGACGAAAACATTGTGGCGATGATGGTCATCAAAACCAATGGCGAGTTTCTTCTCCTCTTCAATGAAGAAGCTTCCTGTTATAAATGGAACATAACTATCAAATCCATCAGTTTCCACTCTCAAGAACTTGCTCCACAGCACCTCTTCAGTCTCAATCTTAGTTGTAATCCATATATCAAGCTCATATGGATTTGATTCATCGTGCTGAAGTAAAACCGCAAGCTTCTCTTCTCTAACACAAGATAAAGTCGTATAGTCATGATACCCACCACTAAATGGCAGAGGCAAGAGCGGACCAAATGTCTCACTTGTAAAATCGAAACAGATTATGCAATCAGCCAAGACTTCTTCAATATCCTCGTTCCTTTTAGCAGCACACCAGCAAGTGTTTCCCTTGAGAGAAACGCCAGGTTCACTAATACGCCAATGAGGAGTGACATCAAGAGTCGTCCATAAACCAGATTCAAAATCATAAATCTCATACCAAAAAAACTGCTTCTCGGGTACATTGCAGTATCTATCTATAAACCTCAATAACTTGTGGCTACGACAAGATATGCTCTTCTTGTCTTCGTATCCAAGAGCATAAGAGAAACCGTTGGATCCATATGGCTGATATCTAAGTTCGACCCACCTTGGTTGCCCCAAATACGGATCCCAAACCACAATCCTAGAATCATTTTTCAAGATGCATAGCAATAAACCCTCGCAGTAAAAGAACTTAGATATATTGACTTGTTCGTCAAGGTAAGTAAGTTTGCCTTTATGCTCTGTAGATGGATCTCCATTGATGACGATGCTCTTTAAGTAAAGAGTAGAACCCATCAGCACGATCATCTGAGACTCACCTTCCTTTGCCGCGGCTAAGGCTTTACCAATGTGCATCTTCTTAAAGCTCTGACACTTTGATAGATCGTTCCACTTTTTGCAGGTCAATCTAACAGCTCTCATGGATGTCAAAGGAACCCTAATGAAAATCTCCTTTACCAAATCATCTAGAAGATTAGAGATCCTCATCTTCGTCGTCATTTGGTTTAAATTTCTATCAAAACCTCCCATTTTACTTTCCCTCTGATTTATATAATTGCGGCTGAAGGTAAGATACAGAAACCCTAAGTGAAGCAAGGCCAATAAGGATATAAAATCACTACTCCAACGTTATCTTTTTAAATTAAATGATGTATACTTTATGTTGTTACAAACTTATGTAATGTGTTTAGCTCTTCTCATACGTGCAAATCATAAAAAGCCTAGTTTCTTGTTCCTGAGGCTTCAAAAGCCTAGTTTCTTGTTTTCTCCCTTTACAGTGAAAAATGTGGAAAAGTGTATATATATGGCCGCAGAACATAAGACGTGAACAAGTTTTATTCCCGTTCCTTACAAAGCTGAGCAATAATAAAAATAATACATAACAATTGTAAATAATACAGAGATGTCCAGAAAGGTTCTTGTCAATTTTTTACATACTTAATATGAAGCTTTCTTGCTTTAGGTTCAGAAGGAATCAACAGATGCACAAGCAAAGAAGAAACGATAGTAAACATTTAAATTTCACTCCGTACTCATCACTACTTGGTTTTCTGTATGTACAGAGAGATAATAATAAAGACACCTTTGATCAGAGCTATGGTTCAAGCTTCATCTGAAGTGTTGGCTCAGAACCTGAAACATAAAGATAAGAGACTAAGCAAAAGATTGGTTCTAAGTTTCAAAGGACCACTTTGGTTCTAATTTTTCTTACAGTTGTTGTTGCTGCTCTGTTGCTGGATATCTCCAAAGCCCATCTGAACTATGCTTTGCAGGTCATTATTTTCCCAGAACCCCGGTGTCTAAAATGAATCAAAAAGACAAACACGATTGAGTTTTCGATACGCTCAAACGAGTTTCTAGAATCGAACATTAGCTACTAATTACCTCAGCTTGAACAAATCCATCGTTCGAGGGGAATTGTGTGTCTGAGAATCTGGGCATGTTCTTGCCAAGGGAATAGTATGCTGAAGGAAGTCTTTGCTCTGAGCAAGCGATTGCGTAAAGAGACTGCGTTAAAGACTCCCCCGGTTGAATCATCTACACATACACATGCATACATTATAGATACAGAACATTCAGAACATTCGACCAGAACAACATGATATTGCAGCCTCAAAACCAGAATTTTACCTCTGTGGATAAAGTAGAATTAGCATTAAACTCCATCCTTGGATTTACAGTTGCCAGCTTCATGGACAAGAACTGAAGAAACAGAGCGCGAGTTTCAGGTTTAAGATATCTTCAAACTCCAATTTCAAGAACATTTACGAAATACCAGTTCTTACCTCGACTTGTCTCTGCAAGGACTGCACATAATTTATAATTTCATCAAGCATGACAGCTTTCCCTGTAATCCGGTTGCAACCAGGAACCAAATCCTGAAGTAACGTCATTCGCTCGCTGATCTTTTCTCTTCTTGCCTGAAACCAAGCACACAACAAAAACATCAACATTGTGAACATCATAATAGCCTAAAATCGACAAAAATAGATCGGTTTTTGGAAGGTGTTCAATACTCTTTCAGCAAGACTGTGGCTATCTGTTGCCTGCCCCCTTCTAGCTCTAACATGAATATAATCTTTAGGCGCCTCAGGAGGCTTAGCATCGTCCTTATTATCGCCTTTACTATTGCACTTCTCTAATCCGTTTTTACTACTCCGAGCTTCATCCTGCTTGCTTCTCTTCCCAGCCTTGGATCCACCATTATCTCCTGAAACCTGATCATAATGCCAAAACCAACCCCGTTTTTTTTTTGTCAGAGTCAAAACATTGCTAAAACATGAAGAAACACATTAAAAGTCAATTAGATAAAGTCTCCACAAAACACAACTCTCTTACACACACATAAGTTCATAAATCAAGAAAGCTGACAGTTTCTTAAAGTCTACATTTTTGAATTAAAGCAAGAGAGATTGTGAATCACAAACCTTGGAATTGGAAGCTGTAAGAGATGAAGAAGCTGGAGACTCCTTGCCATTACCAGTAGGTATCGATTTCCTCTTCCTGGAGTTAGATTTCGTGGCGTGAACTCGATCAGAAACTGAATCTGGATCCAACAACGAGCTCTTGTTACTCTCTTGCGTCGTTGGTTGTGACCCAAGAACCCCAAATTCTCGATCGGATCCGAATTGACCTGGATACGGAGGGAATCTAATTCCACCGGCGATTGGAAAATTCTCAGAGATCTGAGAATTCAGAGAGAAAGACTGTAGAGTTAACGGTGAAATCTCTTGTGGGTTGCAGTATCTTCCAAGGAAATCACCGATTGAACCGTCATTGCCATTGCCAAAGGGATCGCTCTGACCCAAAGGTAAGTAATTTAGGGTTTGCTCTGTTTCCTTGTCCATGTTCATCTAAAAAAGACCACAACTTTGATAAAAAAAGGTGAAATTTTTCAACTTCTCTGGGAATTCTGAAGAAAACCCAGAATCTGAATCAGAAAGCAAGATTGGAATTGAAGTGGAAACAACCAAATTGTGAAGTAAAAAGAGAAACTTTATTTGTGTTTCTTCAAACAAAGTGACAACTTTTAACTAAGACCGTTGAGAAAAATGTAAGCTTTTTCCCAATTATGGGTTTTGTGGAAAGATCTATGAGGGAAATGAGGAAATGAGTCAGAGGAACTAGAAATGAAGAAGCATGATTGATCAATCAAAGTAGAGGAAAGAGGAAAGAGAGAAAGAGGCGGTGACTTTTTTTACTGATCAAGGATGAGGAAGATGAAGAAGAAGAAGGTTTAAGAGAAAATGACAAAAAAAATTAAAAAAGAGAAAGAGGGAAAGTAATGATAAGAAAATTCTAATTAAAATTAGGAAATTAAAAGAGTGAGTTTTACAGTTCAAAAGGAGAAGAATCTTACGTGTGTTTATGTTAATGTGGGAACATTAGATGGTGAAAGTGGGTAGGCTGCTTAGGCTGGCCTCTGTAATCATTGGAGTGAGAAGAAGAGAGAGAGAAGAGAGAGAAGAGAGCATGTGCATGGCAGAGACAGGAAAGTTGTGGGAGAGAAAACAAACAAAAGGATAAAATTGTTTGTTAATTATCATGTTTAATTATTCTTGGTTAAGATACTGTATTACTCACCAAAACATGATGGTGTCAAAAAGTCAATAATTGACTTGGAAGGGGTTTTAGATCTTGAATTTGATGAATTATTTGTTGTTGTTTTATTAAAATCAAGGGAAGCAAATTGATGTTTGTGTTATGAGTTGTTATGAGCCAAAGCTCTTGTTTTTGCTCTTGTTAATGGACCCTCTACTCTCTCCGTAATGACTAAATTAGAAGTGTAGCCTAAGCTTAGAGAACAAGAAGATTGAAAGCAAGCTTCCCTTTAACCCAAGCCTCTCTTAGAGAATTAGGTTAATTGTTGGAAGTTAATTCTTATTGATGATTTTGAGAGTCTTATATAGACTCTTACAAACCGACTTTCGCATTGTGAAATAAGTAAAGTATCTAAATCTTAGTTTAGCATGAAAAGGAAATACTTAAAAGAACTATGATGCGTTCTAAACGATACTTGATGACATATCTTGTATCATTGTATATGTTAATCAAGTTTATAATGTGAAACCAAAACATTGAAGGTATACACATATATTTCCTTAGGTTGTGTTATGTGTGACATATGATGATAAACAAATGAATTTGCATTTTTGACTATTTGAGCATATTCTGAAGTTGTCATCTCCACTTGAAGTTACATTGGCAGGAGTTGATATGGCATAGGGCAGGACATAGGGCTGAGTAGCAAGTTTCTTTAGAGTTCTTATGGGACGCGTTCTAGTACATGCTGAAGGGCTTTCTTGATTCCTCCTTGTTCTAGAGACGTCGTCAAGTGTATCTCTTGCACCTGAAATATTGACATTTTACTTAAAATCAAAGCAAGAACATCTCTCTATCTATGGCCATAAATGGATAGCTTCCGAGATTTACCTGTCTTCCAGCACGAGCAAGAAGAACAAATTTCCCGTCAGAAGGCGGTGTCTGCGTGAGAAAGCACATAGAATGGGAATTTGCCAATGTTGTAGGTCTTGTGAATATAAAGAAAAACAGAACTTACATTTGAGAGCCAAAGTTGTAGGTCTTGTGAAACTACTCTTTTCTCAAATCCTTGCCGGTTGATTTTCACAGCTTCTATTCTGCAATGTCGAATATAATTATCAGCAACACTTTGAAACCAGAAAATGTTCTTTCTAGATGGTGAAGCCTGAAACATAGAATCTAAAGTAATGCAATTGATTGTCCAAAAAAAAAAGAAAGAAAAGGTAATGCAATTGCATAAAGTATCAGCCAGCAATAGCTATTGACATGTATGGATTCAATTACAAAAATTTGTTAGGGAAGTGCCTATGTCAATAACAACACACAAACTAGTAGAGAAAAGGTGATCCTAGTCACGATTTTCTATTAATAATCAAATGCTATGCAGAGAGACGATTAGGACTGTAGTAGTAACTAACTTATAAAATGATATTTTCTACATACCCTTCTTCCTTCAATAGCTCTTCAAGTATTGTTTCTAGCCCTGGAAGAGGTTCAATTTTATCCCCATTGTCCGAGCTTAGTGATGGAGATCCAGTAGAGCTGTCCTGTAACAAGATTCAATAATACATTTACAAATCACTAAGAGCCACAACAGACAGAAACATATTCATTCGCATTGTAATGTTTACCTTCAAAATCACTTTGTCCAATGTTTCTAGAAGAGGATCATCTTCCAGCTGTTTGATGGATAATGTAATCCTTGATTTCTCTCTGCATTGGAACAACTCTAGATTAAAATATATGCATCATGACTAATATATTTCAGGAACCAAAAGAAAGAAACTCACTTATCAATATTCGTGACTATTACCCGAACCTCATCACCATCGCGTAGTACATCCCTAACATCTTGAACGTAATCCCACGAGACTTCAGAGACATGCACTAGTCCGGTTAAATGATAAAGACCTATACACCACCCCACCACATACTTCTTCATCAAGCTCAGAACAAAAACGTTCCAATCAAGAAATTTCAGTAAAAACAGAATATACCATCATCGAAACGCAAATGGATAAAGGCACCATAGTCCTCAACAGAACCTACTCTCCCAGTAAACACATCCCCCACATTAACGTTTTGTGAATACTTTGGCCATAATGCTAACTTCTCAGATAAAATCAACTTTCTATTTTCCTCATCAGCTTGAACAACCTAATATGAAGATTTACCTCAATAACCATACACATTAGTTTGATAACAAAAACAAGCCAAAGGAGAAAACTTTACCTTTACAGGAAGTTTAGAACCAACCAAAGTCTTAGCTATCTCATGAATACTCTTCTGAGGCTCTTCATAGATCAAACACAAACCATCAATGTAAAAATTCATACTTCAATACAAAGCTTGTGCAAAAAAAAGAGAGTTTTGATTACCTTTACAAGAACGTGAAGGACTTAATTGTGGATAAGGAAGAAACCCCACAAGAGAATGAAAACGTATAAGCAAGCCTCCACCATTAAAGCCATCAACTTGACCTTTAAATGTATCACCACTTTTACAATAAGCCTTTGCTATTTTCCAATCGCTTGGTCCTGCAGCAGCAGCAGCATCATCGGAGGTATCACGGAGAAGAGAATTGGAAGCGGAGAGAACTGAGGAAGAGGATGATTGATCGGAGTTTCTATCGGTATCTGCTGTGGCGGAGCTTGATAAGGATTTGACGATACAGAGCAGAGAGCTTCTATGTGATGGAGAATAAGTAGAAGAGGATGATGAAGGGAGGAGTCTAAGTGGGCAAGAGAGGAAACAGGATTGTTGGTCGAAGAGATGAGAGGAGAATGAAACAGAACCCAATGTGGTAGCGCCACTGAACACCGCCATTGTTGCGCGGCAGAGCAAAAAACGCCGCGGAGACTGAAGGTGGAAGATTTTAATGGTAATGGGATTTTGGATAAGAAAGTGAGAGACTGGTGATGAAGGTGACGTGGCACTTGTCAGCTCACAGGTGCTAAAGTGGAAAAGTCGTCGGTTTTACACGTGGAGGATTTTAAGTGGATGTTTTTGTTAAATAACATGTGTGTCTAATAACAGGGGATAAATAATTGTATGTGTTTTTCCAATTCCAAGTTTCCCCAACATGTGAGGTTATTTTTTGCGTTTTTGTAACTTTGAGTGCTTATTTGTAAAATATGGATATTATGAGGGTCTCTTTACAAGAATATCTCTAAGCAAAGAGATCAAGTGTTGTCCTCTTCGCAAAGCTTTTCAAAAACCCTTCACATACTCTGTGTTTTCTCAGTTGCAAGCTATCATTTTCCCGAGAAAATAATTATGAATTCAAACATTTTCCCACCATCGAAACCTCAAAAGAAGCTTGATATACAACAATCCTTCTCGAATCTTCAATCTCAATGCTCCAATTTACTCCACAATGTTTCGCAAACCTTTAATCCTCTCTTCAACCCGGACACGAACAGTCCCAGTAATCTCTTCTCTGCTATCAATTCGTTTCGAGATCAAGCTAAGCAAGCCTTAGATTCCGGATTCTCTCGCTTCAATTCGGTTTCTCGTTCCGGTAACGCTCCGGTCTGGGCGAGAATTTCTAACGACGCCGGCGGTGACGGCGGTGGTGTGAGGACTCAGGCGACGGCTCCGGTTAAAGGAAGCGGGAAAGGGTTATCAGCTGATGCAATTGAGGAGAGATTGGCGGGAGTTCCTGTATACGCGTTGAGCAATTCGAATGAGGAGTTTGTGTTGGTTTCAGGGACTTCTTCTGGGAAATCTCTGGGTTTGTTGTTTTGTAAAGAGGAGGATGCGGAGACGCTTCTTAGACAGATGAAGAGTATGGATCCTCGTATGAGGAAAGAAGGTTCAAAAGTTGTTGCTCTTGCTCTTAGCAAGGTATTAAAAGGAATCAATTAGCTTTCGTACTTAGTCTCTGTCATTTTGGTTTCTGATTTTTTGGTGTGGGGGTGTTGTTGCAGGTGTTCCAGTTAAAAGTTAATGGTGTGGCATTTAGGTTGATTCCTGAGTCTACTCAAGTGAAAAATGCCCTGAAGGTGAGTCTCTGTATATCTTTGGGTTCAGAAAATGCTGATGAACATGATTGACTGTCATCATTCGTCAATGAGGACTGAGGAGCCTTTGTGTTAGTTTAGTTCAGGAGCATTTTAATTACTTGTAGCTCTGTTTCAGCGACTATAGTGAAGTCAGTTAGCTAGAGAGGTAACTGAGTAGAAGGAAGTTGAGAAGCAGGAGAGGGGAATTCTGAATTAGTCTAGCATTGGTTTGGGTTTATGAGAGTTTAGGGTGCTATAGAATTCATCTTGTGGTTCTGTCATTGGTGCTTTGATACGGTTTGTTCTCAGTTGTCTTCGGTATGTAGATTGAGAGAGTGAAATGTGAATTAATAAAGAGAGAACTGTTTCTCGTTATGATCAGTCTCTTCCTCTATATCACATTTTGATATTATCTGACATGAAATCATATAACATATGGATAAACCTTAACCATAGACTATGGAGATGCAAGAGTTAGGACTTCAGGTGACTCTTTGGATTTGTGTTATTGCATCCCTCTTCTGGTTAGGAAATTCCATGGTGTGGTTAGTATTGATATTAAGAACCTTTTCTGCGCCAACAAGTGGTTTTCTTTAGGAGTACACTAATTGTATTCAGTTTTAGTACATTTTTACTCAAAGGTGGCCGGGTTTTCTTTGCAGCATATAGGTCTTTTGGATCTACCATTATTTCTCTGAAAACAGACTGTAGCATTTGGTTAGACAGTGCAAGTAAATTATGTCTCTTCTATATGTGTATACAGGAAAGGAAAACAGCTGGTATCGATGATGACGACTTCCATGGTGTTCCAGTTTTCCAGGTAATGTGCAAAACGACCAAGGCTTTATATGGTGTGACTAGCTTTTTCGTTTTTACTCTATCTGGTGGTGCATAATATAGTTTCAGAGACTATCCATGGACATTGCAAAACTTTGAGATGATTGCTTCCTTTAAATGTTTGAGATATATTTTCTAAATAAGTTTACTTAACAATTTGACTTCTGTTGTCTCAGTCAAAGAGCTTGATTCTTCGAAGTGAAAACATGAGTTATCGTCCTGTTTTCTTCAGAAAGGTTAGTTAAACTTACAACACCAAGTTCACCTTGGTCTATACACTGGTTACATGATCGGCAAGCTTGAATCTTGGTTGAGTTTTAACAGGAGGATTTGGAAAAATCCCTAAAACGAGCGTCCAGCCAACAAAACCGACTCAACCCTGCTCTGAAACCAGGCGATATTCAGGTTTTCTTGTTATTTAACTTTAATATTATATATCTTGTCAATCCATAATTTTCTCATCTCATATTTAAATGCATGAGTTTTTTTATTCCAAAGGTTGAAGTTTTCGAAGATATTGTCAAGGGGATGAAGGTAAACAATCAAAGAAAAAACACCATAGACGTTCTGTGATGCATTTTTCTCGGGTTTTGCTTAATCTGTTTCCCGGGGTTTTTGAATTGAAATTGCAGGAAAACACAAGTTCAAGCTGGGACGACATAGTGTTTATACCGCCTGGTTTCGACGTTTCAACCGAGCAAACCCAGGAGTAGCGGAAATCCTTGGCGCGTCGAAACCTCAACCTTCTCCATTTTCATATTCCTACCACATCATTCAACAACTTGATGAAGACAGAGAGTTAGACATAGTGTTGATGATGTTCCCCTCCATTAACATATCTTTCTCAAACCGTTGCTTCTTCTATGTCGTCTTATAACAAAGACATATTCGCATAATATTCACTATTAGTACTAGAAGGAAAAAAAAAAGTAAGAGTAGTTTGTACCAATACTACTGTAGTGTCACGTTTTACATATTCCTACTGAGTTCAGCATTTAAAACTGAGACGACGTTGAGATTTCAAAAAACCTTGGAGCTTCTTGTTCACCACTGTAACATGTAAACATTATCAAAAAGAACTTATCAAAAAATAAACAACATGGCTTCTTTTTTATTATCTTGTTGACTTGGCCTTCACCACAATTATTTTCCTATTTTGGATTTTATTTTTCCTCTAGTGATTTTATTAAAAAATCTATATTTAGTGTGTGTTTTGTATATTTATTGAGAAAAAAAATATCAACAAATCTTTGCAAATAAAAAAAACACAAGTTTTTGATTATAATTTCGAATCATGAAAATTGTTACAACATCTATACTTCTATGTTTTCTTATGTTCTTCGTTATGAACAACGTTAAAGGTAATATATTATGATTCTCGTTAAGATCATTTTAATATGTTATTTTACAAGAAAATAAATCTTTTCATATTTTTCGTATAAATCAATTAATGTTTAACCAAACAACTCTTAATTTTGAATTGATTTTTATTTATATAGGAAGAGCAGCGAAATTAATACCATGTCCATTTGATCTGAGGAACCCTGGAAAATGTGGAGCTAACAAGACTCAGTTTTGTTTGGACGAATTTAGAAAGACTAAATATTTTTCGAAGAATCATACTCAGAATGTTACACGTTGCTTGCCATGTAAAGACGTCAAGATTGGAAAAGAAGACGTTTATTCGTGCGTATGTTATAGCAAAGTCAAGACTAAATGTTAATTTTGAGAGTTATCTTTAACTAATCTTCTCTAACATTTCAAGTTCATTTTTGATGTATTTTTTCATCTCGTAATGATGTTTTTTATCCCATCTATATATATTTAATTATTTTTATAAAACTAGTGATTATTACTAGAGAAAAATCCACCTGATACGTGGGAATTACGATTAAAAATGTAATTGTTAAAATAATACAATAATATTTATAACTTTTTTAAAAAAAATTATACTTTTAGACCTATAATTGGTTTTCACGAGAACAATATCAATAAAAACACGCTCAAGAGTCAAGAACATCATAATATAATTAAGTAAAGACTGTAAATTAATTCAAAATATGAAGACGTACGTAGCCCGTAGGAGCTATACTCAATGGGTGACATGATTTTGTATTCAGACGTTAGACAAAAAGGAAGAGAAACACCACAATTAATCAGTCAATCACAATGCAAAACCGGCTCTGTGATCAGGATGGTCTTGACCCTTATACTCACACAACATCCGTTTGAAGACATTCAAGTAGGTCAATAAATAAATGGCAGTGAAGTTATATATATATCGTAACGTTTGGAACGAGACCATGTTATGTTTCAGAACTGAGGAAATGTATAGGTTTTGGCTCATAACCTTTTGATTATTAAAAACAAAAACTATTAAGTTTTTTAATATATTGACATGTTCGATAAGAAATTCCTAAATATTCTTCATAATTCGTATATTAAAATTACGAAATTATTGTTTCCAAAAATAAACTACCGATTTTCTCTCCATTGACCAATAATATATATATATATATATATATATATTATTTTTTCAGTATTTGAGAATTTATTTATCTAATTTAATATTAAAATCTATATTTAGTATGTATCAAGTATATATATAATCATGAGTTCCGGATTAAAAAAGAATATTTACTTATTTCATCTTTAAAATACTAAAAGTTTATTTCATAAAAAACGACTTTTGATTTAAGATTTGGAGACATGAGATGTGTTACTTCGTTTCTAGTTTTGTGTATTCTCATGTTCCTTGTTTTGAACAATGTTAAAGGTAAAACACATTCTAATCAATCTTGATTTTTCTTGTTTTATTTAAAGAACTTTGAATTTATCAATATAGTTTGAGTTAAATATTTTTTTGTATTTGTGGTTGTTTGTTTCGATCGAGCCGTAGATGTGAAAGCACAAAAAAAAGAAAGATTGAAACCTCTGTGTAAAATAACTGGTTGGGCAACTCCTGTAAAATGTCCAGCATCTGTCCGTGATGCGAGCGACATGTGTTATCGCAGTATGCACTCAAGAGATCGGACATATAAGAGATGCGACTGTAACAACATTAAACTGCGAGGCAAAGACGCACATCAATGCACATGTTATATGAAACTCCCTTGCAACCAACCATAGCTCTCAAAATTTCACCAAAATGTATTATCCTTTCTCAAATATTAGAGATAAAGGGTCGTGCATGAGTTTCTTTTGTATGTTAATCTTTATTCCACCACAAAGTAATACGTCTAACTTGGAGATTAAGAATTCAAACCAAATCAATTTTTTATATAAAATAAGAGAATATATGGAATAGATCCATATTAATTTTATCCTTAAAACAAAACATTTAAAAAAGTTAGATCTATATTATCTTTTTCTTTTCAAAGAATTCATGCATGCATGCTTTTGGTATCAAAAAGGTCTTGATAAGTTAAATTATTATTGCCACACAGATTGTGATATCAATGTCGAAACTTATCTTCTTCCATTGAGGTGTATTGATCACAAGCGTTTTTGCAAGACATGTCTCGTTATTCATTTCACAAGAGACTGAAGCAGAATAAGTACTGGTGGAAGAAACAAAAGCAATTAAGACTTTTTTTTTTATATATATATTCAACTGCTTCAGTTTTCTTGTTCCGAATCAAAGATTAGATCAGAATAATTCTATCTTAGAAACGTGAGTACAGTGATACTAAAGGTTTGGTATATACAATTCATATGAAACGTGTGACTGAAGTAAGTTACAATTATTGATCGCATCAAACTAACTTTGGCTACCTGTTAATTAAGTATATGACCTTGGAAGGCAAGGAGAGCTAACACTAAGCTATCAAGTAACAAGAGAGTGAGGAGGTTACGTGTCGCATGAGGCTCGAACTCGATTCAAGATTTTTTTTTAAAATATTTTTGTATCTCAAAAGTTTTCATTTTGAAAAATGTATATTCTACGTTCTTTAAGAAAAAACATCGGTGAAAAATGAATAAGAATTAGTGTTTCTTATATGTATAGACGATATGGGTGTGCGACGAGTAGCATCATTTGTCTTCCGAAGCAATGATATCAAATGACGATGTGTCGACTCCAAATTCCATGAATCTGCATGCACACCTAAGTATAGTAATAATTAGTGTATTTTAAAAGAGTATGGCATTGAATTTAACTCGTGACTCTATATATACATTTAGTCAAACAAAATTTATTTTTATTTATTGAAATGGATACTTGGACCACAACCATAGCCATTCCTTATTTAATCTCTTTGGGGAGAAAAGCCAAACCATAACTCAACGTATAACTCCATTTAATTGGTTTCAATAGGTTACAATTGTATAAAATGAACTAGATTCGGACCCGCGCTACAGTGCGGGGGAAATAATTACATATATGTAACTTTTAACGGATTAAAATATGTTACATTTTAATTTTATTGCAATGCAATCGATTATGGTAATCATATATTTGTATAATAAGTTTAAATAAATTAATAAAGGAAAAAGCGAGTAAATAATCATATATTAAGTTTTGATACAATTAAAAACACGGTGAAAATTTAACAGCACGAAATAATATTTGTCGACAAATTATTCATTTTGATCATTTTTGTAGTAGAAGTAGGAATATACGTAAAACTTACATATTTACAATATATTTTTTGAAGGACTAACCCGTAACATAATTCATTTTCTAAAAAACATTATTCATAACTCGTTTTAGCATTATAATTTTGATTTTAAAAAACTACCCGTGAACTATCTAAAATTTACATAGTTTGATATATAATATATTTTATCAATAAAAATTATATCTCCAAAAAAATATTTTCAATATTTTAAATTTTAAATTTTTTTATAAATATTGGAACCTTTTAATTATAATATTTTGAAAGTTTCTAAAATTTTAAATATGCTCATGTAACAGTGGTTTTAATATTGGTTATACTTATACTTATAATAATTTTAAACCATTTTCTAAGACATTTAACGGAGTGTGGTAGAGTATTATATGTTTGTTTTAAAAAATTCAAATTGCAACATATGAAAAAAAGTTAAATTTTTATTAAATATTTATATTATATAGTATAATATCATAAATGAAAAATAAGATCAAATAAAAGTGAAAGAAGAAAAATAATTTTTTAATAGATTATATTAAATTAGTTAGAGAAATATTAGGAAATCATAAAATTAGTTATGGAAATAATACAATCCTTAAATTAGATATGGAAAGTATCCGATTTATGTATCCAAACCCAATTTAATAACCACTAGATGATGACCCGCACATATGTGCGGGTGTATTTTCAAAAGCATAGTTTGATGGGTTTTTTTTTTTTTTATGTTTTGTGAATTGGCAATTGAGGAGTACAAAAGATTTAACATTGAAGAAAGTATGTTTGTCTCCGTAAATCCAATGGCAACTTATAATTTATAATACGTTTGAAATCAAAAAATCATTGAGCAAAAGCTGTCTCTGTACCCTATGCTAAGTAGTGTAATTTTGTTTGAGTCAATATCACATTGAAATCACATAATCAAATCAGATTTAAAGAGAAACAGCAAAAACCAAGAAAGTCTAAAACATATGTGATCAGAATTCCAATATTAATATAAAAAGAGATGAGATCGGACTAAAATTTTTTGTTCAATGTTTCCTCATATCTCTATATACATATAATCCAAATACTAATAATATACTCTATTTTATTATTTACCAAGATTTTAGCTTCAATTTGTTGAATCATATATTGTTCATATCTATATTGTTCAATATACTAAATGGAAGCAGAAGTGAAAAATACTATTTCTTGCTAAACAAACAATTACTATCATATATTATGTTTTGATGTGACAAACAAAACAAAACAAACCAAGCATATATTATAATAAAGGAGATATTGTTCCTTCTTCTTCAGTGGTGTCTCTCGTTGGCATTAACTTCTTGGTCTTCGAGAAGTCAAACTTGTATGCATGCATTCGCCTCTAAAAGTATTGTCGTTGGTTTTTGGTGGAAAGACAAAGTCAATTTTGTAGGATTTCCCAACATTATCTCAGTCTGCAACAATTTCACACCCAAAATAATGTAAATAAGAGGATGTAGTTAATAAAGCTCACATTAAAATAAGAAAACTTGCCTTTACCTTTTGAACCATTCTTCTTTTTCTCTCATCTTTCGTTAACACCTCCATCTGTTATTTAACAGAGAACAAAGACAAAAAAAATTCTTGAATTACAAAAAAAGAAGATAATGATTTACATATAGTAGAAGAAAGATAGGTTTACTCTTCTCTACTCTTCTTTGTTGTGAGCCCATTCTTCAAAATCTTACCGATTGTTACCACAACTATGATTGTAATATACAAAAGACTATATCATACATATATATACGCAAAAGAGAGAAACCGATCTAAACACATTTATCATATGACATGATTAAGTTATAATAAGAATGCTTTACCAAATGACTTAAGATGTCAAGTAGTGTATTTATATTCAATATTCTGTATGGTAGCGTTTGATTTATTATTTGTGTTTAAGATTTTGATAATTTAGTAAAACTCCAAAATTTTTGCTGAGTAGTTTTGATTTTTTGGCATAATTTTTGTATATTCACGAAATCAAATTTATTCAGAGATCATGGTTGTTTTCAATTTCATCATAATATTTTCGTTGAGTAGTTTAAATTTTGCGGCATAATATTGGTATATTCACAAATTCAAATTTATTAAGGGATCATGGTTGTTTTAATAAATTATTATGTTTATTAATATCATCTATATTTTTTGCATCAGAATATATTTTGGTGGACATAACTCACGTAAGGGATCATGGTTGTTTTCGTGAATATATTTTTTGATTTTATGATTTCTTTATTTTTATTTCGTGAATTCAAAATTTTTGGTTATCTATAACTTTTTTGATTTTTTGATTTTGATTTTTATTTTTCTTTCGTGATTTATTGTTTTCTTGTTAAAACTATCCAATTTTTTTTATTTTTTGTTACATATAACTAATTTGATTTGCTGTACACCTTTTTATATTGCTCGGAATTGATTAGTTAGTTCATTCCTATAATTTTTGGAATATATTTGATATGAGTTGATTTTGGAAAAGATTTAAATATAAATTGCGTTATTGAGAAATCGTGATTTTAGGAATAAACTATATTGTTTACTATATTTTAGGAATCAAGTATAATTAATGATTAAATTAATTTATTACTGTATTGTATTTGTTTTATTTTACTCTTTTTATTTGTATACACTATGTTAACTTTATACAAAATGCTTCCCTTTTAATTATGTTTATTTATTAATATCATCTATATTTTTTGCATCAGAATATATTTCGGTGGACATAACCCACGTAAGGGATCATGGTTGTTTTCGTGAATATATTTTTTGATTTTATGATTTCTTTATTTTTATTTCGTGAATTCAAAATTTTTGGTTATCTATAACTTTTTTGATTTTTTTATTTTGATTTTTATTTTTCTTTCGTGATTTATTGTTTTCTTGTTAAAACTATCCAATTTTTTTTATTTTTTGTTACATATAACTAAATTGATTTGGTGTACACCTTTTTATATTGCTCTGGATTGATTAGTTAGTTCATTCCTATAATTTTGGAATATATTTGATATGAGTTGATTTTGGAAAAGAATTAAATATAAATTGCGTTATTGAGGAATCGTGATTTTAGGAATAAACTATATTGTTTACTATATTTTAGGAATCAAGTATAATTAATGATTAAATTAATTTATTACTGTATTGTATTTGTTTTGTTTTACTCTTTTTATTTGTATACACTATGTTAACTTTATACAAAATGTTTTCTTTTTAATAGTATAGATTTTTGAAGTATCCAATTGTTAAAATCGGATTAATTTTTTTATTTTGACCCGACCCGTATTCTGTTTTGTACTTCTCTTTTACTAATATAGGGATATATACATATACATTGCATGTTTTTTCTTTTCTTTAAATCATATATACCCAAGGATAGCCATTACAATAATGGTCTATATACTAACATCTGCATTACATATTGATTTCATTCAAATGTATATATTGCCTCGTTATCTAATCTAAGTGCAGTTTCGTGTTGAAAATGTATATATAGAAACAAAGGGAGTTTCTTCACTAATCTACTCATTAATATTTTGAAGTAATATAAAAAAATTTAGGCAAAATATTATGTTTTCTTATAATTTTTATTTTCTTTTGCAACTAAAAAATATATTCTATGTTCTATATTCTCCCTCGCTAGATCGCACTAGAGCAGATAAAAGATCTACATAGAACTTTGAAATGTGTACACTAATTAATTACTAACAAAATACAAAACACTAAATACCCCCAAGATTTATATTGACTAATGTCGGTATATTAATCTGTAAACGTAGCCATGTTTTTCAATTTCACGTGTTTATGTACTGCATCATGTCAGATATTGATTGTGTTTATAAATTTAACTTTTAATTAAGTATCTAAAATCGCGTAACAGAGAGATATCAAAAATTCTTTTCATTTTAATTAGTCCATTGTGATAACTAATAGTATATACTTTGTATATACTTTGTTCTACTTTAGTTTCTCTCCATACAACAAAATATGATCAATTTTGAAACTAAGGTCAATTTTATTCATATTTTTCTTCAAACTTATCTTCATTCCTGATAATTTTTAAGGAGTTGGTTACGAAATTCAGAAATTTATATAATCTATTATCTAAGAGATGTATATATTGCACACACAGAAAATTTCACTCTAGATCTTTAAACATTGATCATCTCTCTACACATATTTTACAAAAAAGATAGATTTTGAATTGAGAGTATAGTATTCTAAATGTCTGACAAGTTTATCACTGGATTTTATTTTTCATCATGTGGCACAGATCAAAGTATTCTAGTGTGGACTGTGGAGTAGCTAGTATGAGTGGTATGCTATAACTTTCTGACAAATCTATCAGTGTTTTCATTTTTCATCATGTGCACACACACCAAAAAATAAAAATAAAAACTAATTAAGAGTGGGTAATGGATGACATGAGAACTAATAATGGATAAATCTGGTTTACAGATTTTTAATTAATTACTACATTATTGTGATCAGCCCTATAAAGCCTAAGGTACCCACTTGTAATTTGATTATGTTTAAGGAGGAATAATTAGCTAGCTAAAGTATAATGACTATATCCCTAAAGAGTGAAGAGGTTTTTGTAATCTTCTTTAGATGGATTAGTAATATAACAGCTTTATCTTGTATCAGTATGATTAAGCACTGTCATCCACTACCCACATAGCATAAGTAATTAGAACTTAATCATGGCTCGATCCAAATTGTTTTTTTTTTATATGTATTATCAATCATGTTTGTTGAGATTTGATCTATTGATATACAATTAATTTAAAGACGCCAACAAGTGGGAACTAATTACTAGTGTTATATTTTCAAAATATTAGTAGATGATTACATTACTAGTTATTCAAAATATTAGTGTCCATCGCACGAGTAATTCAAAACCTCCTCATGTCGAATCATAAAGCTTAGATATAAAGCTAGCTAAGCTAGGGTACATAAATGAGTAGGTCTAATAGCTTGCTACACAAGTTTCTCTATACCGTTTACATAGCAATTGCAAAATGAAAATTTCATATCCCAGTAAAATATTTGATCCGTTTGAATTTGAACACGTACGAAAGCCAAACTCGATTCAAAATCTCAATTTGTGGATTAGGCATTAGAGTAGTCTCGTGTTTTGGAAGACTTGCGTAAAGAATTTGAATCTTTAGTATAGAAAACGTACAATGTTTCAATCAAAGAGAGAGACACACGTGATATGAAGCAGATACTCACAACAACTCACAAGTGCGATCATATAATATTGTATTAGACATGAAAATAAATAAATTGTACAGGTATATATTGTTTCGAAATCTTACAATTACTATGAGACTCTTTTTTTTTTCAATACAGTTTTTTTTTCTTATCAATTTTTCATTACAGTTTAATTATATATTTTATTCCCTTTGTATTGTTTCTTCAATGCACAAAGAAACATATAAGAGGATGCTAAAAATAAATAATCAGTTAAGTATATTTCAATGCTTATACTTACAAATTCACAACAAAAATGTTTCTACTTTGTCACTAAATTTTTTATATATATAGTCTAAACGTTGTAAAGCAAAATGTAGACTAATCCTAGATAAACTACTAAGCATGATGGAATTTTTCAAAAATTTAGGACAAAAAGTGTAAATTTTAATGAACTAAGTATTGAAAATTTTCAAAGTTTTATATCCATATTCGGGTGTATAATATACGTTTCCCGGAAAACAACACCGTTCTATGGTTACTTATAAAATCAATATTTTTTCCACAAGTTCACAGTTCAAACTGATTCCATATATGGTGCAGCGTCCATAGACCAATGTAAAAATTCAAATATTAATAAAATATCAAAATACAGCCATAAATAATATCCGTCCGCCACAAAATTACTCCAAATTTTTAACTAACGCTGATTTGTAAACATAACATTCATCTTTGTATCTGTAAAATCAGATTTACATAAATTAACTTACTAATCAATAATTTAATATCGTTTTGTACAAATTTACTTCGCCAAATCTAATATATTGATATCAAAAAATATTTACATACAAAACATTATAATGTAATGGCTACAAGCAAATACATCATTTTGATAACATAGTGGATGTAAAAATATTTACATACAAAACATTATAATGTAACTGCTACAAGCAAATTCATCATTCTTTTGATAATATAGTGAATGTAACATTAACTATCCCTTATAATTTATTCTTTTTCTTTTTTTTTCTACATCATATCCTATTATCATTTGGTAATTTTATAGGCAATAGATGTATTTTGTTAAGCATAATAATTCATCATATTTTTCTATTAAAAAATAAAAATAATAAGAAATAAAACTTTATTGAAATGTGAAGAAAAGATAAAGGGCATGCCTTCCAGGTTTGATGGGAGAAGAAACAGAGCTGGCAACAGCTATTCACATATTACTGATAGATCACTCTCCTCTGTCCTGCACTCTTCTCTCTTTTTCTCTTTTTGTTTTTGTTTCTTTCTTTTGCGACAGCTTTCATTTTTATTCTCGATTTTCAAATTTGAATATTTTACTCTCATTTATATCAAACGTGAATGAGTAAATAATCTCTTTATTACGATGACAACAAAAAAAAAGATAAAGATTAATGAATTTTCATCTTAATCTTAGATATATAAAGCCTGTAATTAAGAGTTAATTTCTATCTGCATGGGATTATAAAAGGGAAAAAGTATTCATTAACGTGTTTTTTTCCTTAGGTTTAACTGTTTAAGGATGATATAGATTATAAACTATGGGTTAAAAAGTACTTAATTTGTGGTTTAAGGATCATGATATAAGATTATAAATTCAACAAAAGAAGAAATTATGCTTTTAAAAAGAACAAGTGAAAGATAAATAATACTGAAGTAGACAACTGTAGTTGGGTTCCCAAGGTTGCTGCTTCACCTGTATATATACTCTATCTTCTTTCAAAACTCATCTCACATCACATTTTCACAACTCTCCTCGAACAAACAACTCTTATCTTTCATTTCTACAATCTTGTCCCCAATGGGTCGAATCTTGAATCCGACAGTGTTACTCACCGTTCTGGTTTTAACATTGGTCGGAACAGCTTACTCGGGTAGCTTCAACGAAGAGTTCGACTTAACTTGGGGTGAACACAGAGGCAAAATCTTTAGTGGAGGGAAGATGTTGTCACTGTCACTAGACCGGGTTTCCGGGTCGGGTTTTAAGTCCAAGAAAGAGTATTTGTTCGGACGAATCGACATGCAGCTTAAACTCGTCGCCGGTAACTCTGCCGGAACCGTCACTGCCTACTACGTAAGCTTTTCTTCTTCTTCTTTACACATTCTGTTTTTGGATTTTATAACAAAAACTAATGAAAGTAATGTTTTGCAGTTGTCGTCTGAAGGACCAACACATGACGAGATAGATTTTGAGTTTCTTGGTAATGAAACAGGGAAGCCTTATGTTCTTCACACTAATGTATTTGCACAAGGCAAAGGAAACAGAGAACAACAGTTTTATCTCTGGTTCGACCCAACTAAGAACTTCCACACTTACTCTCTTGTCTGGAGACCTCAACACATCATGTAATATAAAAAACATCTAAAGATCAACACTTTTATATGTTTCTTTATTTTCATCTCTTAACATTTGTGTGTTCTGTTTTCAGATTCATGGTAGATAATGTTCCGATCAGAGTATTCAACAACGCAGAGAAACTTGGTGTCCCGTTTCCCAAGAACCAACCAATGAAGATATACTCAAGCCTATGGAATGCAGATGACTGGGCTACTAGAGGTGGTTTGGTTAAGACAGATTGGTCTAGAGCTCCTTTCACAGCTTACTACAGAGGATTCAACGCTGCGGCTTGTACTGTTTCTTCAGGTTCATCTTTCTGTGATCCTAAGTTCAAGAGCTCGTTTACTAATGGTAAATCTCAAGTGGCTAATGAGCTTAATGCTTATGGGAGAAGAAGATTGAGATGGGTTCAAAAATATTTCATGATTTATGATTATTGTTCTGATTTGAAAAGGTTTCCTCAAGGATTCCCACCAGAGTGTAGGAGGTCTAGAGTCTAAATAATGTTTTGTTGTTGTTTAGTGAAAAATTCTCTTTGTTGTTTTTCTTTAAATAAAATTGATTTGATTACTTCATCACTGGCTCTCTTTTGCTTATTCCAATGCAATATTCATTCTTACGACTTACGAGTCAATAAATGTGTCACGGGACTCACTATAGTGTCCTTAAAAGATTTTAAAACATAGAAGAAGCTGTAGATTCTTGAAGTTGCAGACGCCAACATACAAACAAATTATTTAAAGTATGAACACTTGACAAACATGACTTCATCTAAGAAAAACCAAATTCCAAATTAAAAGGTACAAAGATCACATGCAGAGGTGTCAACTGGGTTGGGACACAAACATGACTTTATCTATAAAAACCAATCCAAATCAAAAGCCACAAAGATCACATGTAGAGGTGTCAACTGGGAAGTACACTTCTTCTAATCAAAGGCAAACAAAATGTAGAATAAATAGCATCTATGTTGTTGTTATATGCAATTTGCTAAGATATCACAGGAGGTTTGCTTTTATAGTCTTTGTGTATGTACATAGAACAAGAGATCGTTTTTTAAAAAAAATGAAAAAGAAACCTTATAATAAATTTGATCACATGGACTATATGTATAAGCGCAAATTTGATCTATGATGCTTCTATCTTGGTTAGAAAAAGACAGCTAGTAGTAGTACCTTTCTCACTTTTCAAAATTAAAAACATGAAACTGGATATTCTGGAGACAGATAAGGGCATTGAAAAGTGCCCATCCTAGTTGCTTCAGGGTGATCTAGTTATCAAGTTGTTCGTTTCGGGTGCTTTTAAGATCGTCTTCTCGTGGACGTAATGAGCAAATTTCACTCTTGCTCGTTGTTCGTTCTGGAGACAAAATATGGACAGTGAGAATCATGTGTTTTAAACTGCTTCCACTAACTAGATTGTTGTCTTAACGTAAAGCAGAATGAGACAATTGATTATGGATAACTCACGGGGATTCTGCAGTGAACTTGAAGGTCATCGTTCATCTGATGGAGACGGCTTTTTGCTAGCTCTGCAGCCTCACAAGCTCTCGTTGCAGCTTCTCCAGCCTGTTTAAACAGCAATATTCTGATTCAATTAAGCATCTAAGATAAAGTTTCACTAATCCATTGACCATTTAACTAGTCTGCAATAGTGTAGTAAACATATATATTCTCATCTTAATTACTTTACTGAAAGATACTGAACCAATACATTGATAAACCTAAGAAATTGATTGGTGTGACTCTACCACTAAAAAGGAATTGTTATGAAGTTATGTTCTGCACTTACTTGACTTTTGTAGGATTCATTATGATCTGCTGATTTCTCCAACATATCCCTGAGACGAGATATTTCTCCAACTAGATCCAAAACCATTACTTCAGTATCTTGTAACTGATTTTTTGAGAACTCAAATGCTCTTTCAGCGTTTAGACGGAAGGTGGAGCAATTCAAACAAGAGCATATCCCTCTACATCCTCTCATACTTCTTCTCAGAATTCCTTTTGACGGAGAAATGGAGGAAGGAGTTGCTAATACAGTAGAAGAGTCAAGCAGCTCATCTGTTAGTTGCTCTGCACTGATGTTTGCTTCTGTTTTCTGTGCACCATTCATATTTTCTTCGCCCACCAAATTGTTGACAAATGCTTTGGGCAATGCAGAGGAAGCAACCTCACTTGAAGTTCTTAATGGGATCTCAGAGCCTAAAGGAGTTCCTGAGTTCTTTTCAGTATCTGGGATGACATGCTTAACTTGAGTTTCTTGTTCCCTGTCAAGTTCAGACTGTTCTGGAGATACAGATACATGTTCACAAGGAATTGGCTCTTTGTTTTCGTTAGAGGATGTATCTGATTCTCTAGCAGCATTTGATGTCCCTATTTCCTGTATCCCCTCATTCTCAGAGACTAATGTTGATGATGAAGTATACTCCTCTTTATTCTCTTGAGGATCTGGATGGTTAACTGTTTCAAGCATGCCTAGATAAATCAGTAAAGACAGAGTCATCAGTATCTTAGTCTGTCAAGTTTTTTCCTTCCAACATAAAATAAACAAGCAGATACTAGCCACCAGCATATATTGAGCAAGATATTGTTCCAATGCATTTGTTATTACCAACCCTGGATATAAATAACTAAGAGTTGTATTGGACTAGGAATAGACTTACAAGGATTATCCTCTTCAATATCTCTGAGATATGGAAGCATTCTTCTGTAATTAACGGAACCTGGTGTTTTGAATAATTTGCGCCTAGAGCATACCTGTTTCATGTCAAAAAGAACTCATGTTGGACAGAAAGCTGGAAAAATAAACGTACACAGAGAAAAACTGGAAATTTCCATGGCCAATATAGAAGTAGCCATAAACTAAAGCTAGAAGAAGCTTCATATATAGAATCTTACAGCTTTCTTGTTGGGGCTGGATGCAATAACCCTCTTCAACGGACTGGTGTTTCTACTACATAAGCTTCCAGCTGAATCTTTATCAAAGACCGTGTCCACAGACTGTGAAACAGGTTTGGTAGTTTCAGGAAGTTGACACTTGGGTGTCATCAATTCACTAACTTCCTCCTTTAAACCTTCAACATTTTCTCCAGCTTCTTTGTCACAAGACAAACTTACATTTGGAGGATTCTGGCTTATAGGTTTTGAGCACCGGCTCGAAGATGTTCCATCTGTAAAAACAATTGGCAATTTAGCATATCAAATTCCAATGCAATCACATCAATTTCTCTTTTGATACACATAAAGCCAAAGAATTTACCATCAGCAGCTTGCATCAAGAATGGAAGCAATCTCTTATAGCTAAGAGAGCCAGGGTTCTTGAATATCTTAGCTATAGAACATGGATGAAGAACCTATACAAACACACATCAACGAAAAACCAAATCAAGAACACAACATAAATCAACAAGAACACACATAGTAGCTTAAACGTATCAATCAATCAATCCACAAGAGCACATACCGATTTGCTCCCGAGATTAGTAGTAACACTTTTCTTCACTGCTGCTACATTGATCTCTTTATTTAACAATTCAGGATCAACCGACGTCGTTTGAATTAACTCTTCTGCTTCTACAATTCCTAATCCACAAACAAAGGCTTTAATTCCATCTAAATCATCATCCAAAAAATTGAAATATGATTCAATGTAAGATCAAGAAACTTACTGTTCGAATCGGGACAATTGCAAATACATTCATGGTATGGTTCCTCCTTGGTTCGGTTTTTTCCTTTGCCGTTAAATTCACAGCCGGTGGAGATCGAACTCGGGGAGAAGACGCGTCTGAGACGCAGATCCTTGATTGTGACTCGTGGATACGCACGAGTGATCTTCGAATCGATCTTTCCATAGAGTGATGGCGATGAATGATGGACGCGAGATCGGTTCCCAGATTGGGATACGGCGGCTGCGGTTCGCTGGTTCTGTGATTTTCTAACAGTGATGATCTCTGTAGCTGAAGGAGATGAGAATCGCATTCGCTTCCAAGGGATCTGGTTTGGTTCCGCCATAGCTTAAACCTTCGTCGAAACAGAGAGAGAGAGAGAGAGAGAGAGAGAGAGAGAGATTTGTTTTTAATTTTTCATTTGGCGGGACATAGCAAAATGGTTGTAGGTGTTTGGCGGGAAACTAGATGGCGGGAAATGAGGTAGGCGAGGATTTTGTGCGGGAAATAGTGTAAAAGGCCTTACAGAATATTGTTGAGTTAGGCCCATGTAGCCCATTATGGATATAGGTTTCGTACGTTTTTTAGTAATTTTTTGATTGGTTAATCTGACAGTTATTGTATTAATTGATAAAACCAAACCGGATTGTTCATTACATATAATAATGTCATAGGTCCATCACTTCCATGTGCTTAATTGTTTCTAATCTGATCATTAATATATGTTATCACCATCATCAAGAGACTAACGTGTTGACCAAAAAAAGAAGAAGACATTTTAGTGTCTTTCACAGTCACTTTTACTCCTCTTTCCTCGATCTTTCATTCCTCTCCTCCTTTATTTCTCCTTCCTCTTTTCATTTTTCTTTGAAACAATGGAGACTCCAACGGCTCTTCTCCTTCTCTTCCTCCTCTACACCATCACCTTCTCCGTCGCAGATGACGGAGCAGCAATGCTCGCTTTAGCTAAATCGTTTGATCCTCCGCCGTCAGATTGGTCAACCACCGTTTCCACAGGATATTGCAAATGGACCGGCATAGAATGTACCTCCGGTCGTGTCACTTCCATCAACCTCGCTGATAAATCTCTCTACGGCGTTATAGCACCTGAGATCTCGACTCTTTCCGAGCTCAAGTCCGTTGCTCTTCACCGTAACAAACTCTCTGGTAACATCCCTTCGTTAGCTAAGTTATCTTCTCTTCAAAAGATCTTTATGGATGAGAACCTTTTCGTCGGAGTTGAAGTCGGAGCTTTCGCTGGACTTACTAGTCTTCAGATCTTGAGTTTAAGCGATAACGTTAACATCGCTGCTTGGAGTTTTCCTTCAGAGCTAGTGGGTTCGACTTCACTCACCACTATTCACCTTGATAGCACCAATATCTTCGGTGTTTTACCTGACATCTTCGAGTCCTTTGAATCTCTTGAGTATCTCAGGCTATCTTACAACAACATCACTGGTCCGTTACCACCGTCCTTGGCGAAAACTTCGATTCAAAATCTTTGGATCAATAACCAAGACTCTGGTATGTCAGGAACGATCCAAGTGCTTTCGAGTATGACGACTTTGTCACAAGTTTGGCTTCACAAGAATCAGTTCTCTGGACCGATCCCGGATTTGTCCAAGAGTGAGAATCTCTTTGATTTGCAGCTCCGGGGTAATCAGTTAACAGGGATCATACCGCCTTCACTTCTTACACACGGAAGCTTGAAGAACATTTCTCTAGACTACAATAAGCTCCAAGGTCCTCTTCCTTTGTTTCCGCCTAAGGTTAGAGTAAACATCGACCACAACTATTTCTGTACTACTAAAGCAGGGCAGAGCTGTAGTGCTCAGGTGATGACGCTTTTAGCGGTGGCTGGAGGTTTGGGATATCCGTCAATGTTGGTTGAATCTTGGAAAGGAGATGATGCTTGTAGTGGATGGGCTTATGTTACTTGTGATTCAACCGGTAAGAATGTTGTTACGTTGAATCTTGGGAAGCATGGATTCAACGGCTTTATATCTCCGACGATTGCGAATCTCACTTCTTTAAAGAGTGTTTACTTTAATGACAACAACTTAACTGGTGTTATCCCCAAGGAGTTAACATTTATGACTAGTTTGCAGCTAATTGATGTCTCCAACAACAATCTCTCTGGTGAAGTACCAAAGTTTCCGATGAAGTTTAAGTACAAACCGGGGAACTCTTTGTTGGGAGATGGTTCTAGTGCTAGTGGTGGTTCTGGTGGTAGTAAGGCTCTTGTGGTCGTTGGTGTAATCGTGGGAGTTCTTGCTTTTCTTGCTATTTTAGGATTTGTGGCTTATAAATTTGTTATGAAAAGGAAGCATGTGTCTAAGTCTAATGGTGCTAGTGGTGACAATAGTGATAGTTTATTTATTGAAGGTGGAAGCGTTACCATTCCTATGGAGGTTCTTTGTCAGGTTACTAATAATTTCAGTGAGGATAACATATTGGGTAAAGGCGGTTTTGGTGTTGTCTATTCTGGAGAATTACACGATGGAACTAAGACTGCAATCAAGAGGATGAATTATGCATCAATGGGTGATAAAGGAGTAAGACAGTTTCATGCCGAGATAACAATACTTACTAAGGTCAGGCATAGACACTTGGTCGCTCTATTGGGATACTGTGTAAATGGAGACGAGAGGCTGCTTGTATACGAGTACATGCCACAGGGGAATCTTGGACAACATTTGTTTTGGTGGCGTAAATTCGGTTACTCTCCTCTGACATTGAAACAAAGGTTGAGTATCGCGCTAGACGTGGCACGAGGTGTGGAATATCTCCATAGCTTGGCTCAGGAGAGCTTCATCCACAGAGATTTAAAGCCCACTAACATCCTTTTAGGAGATGACATGAGGGCAAAGGTTGCTGATTTCGGATTGGTTAGGAATGCACCAGATGGGAAATACTCTGTTGAGACAAGAGTGGCAGGCACATTTGGTTACTTAGCACCAGAATACGCTGGTAAGTTCATGTTAATTTCAAATCTTTTATGGTATACTATGCAAATGGTTTATGTTATTTTGTGCCTATATATGATGATTGATGATATGACATGATGGGTGCAGCTACTGGAAAAGTAACGACCAAAGTGGATGTGTATGCATTTGGAGTGATTCTTATGGAAATGCTAACAGGAAGAAAAACAATAGACAATACATTACCAGACGATAGATCTCATCTAGTGAAATGGTTCAAAAGAATACTAATCCAGAAAGAAAACATTCCAAAGGCACTTGACGAAACCTTAGAAGCAGACGTGGAAACAATGGAGAGCATTTATAGTGTAGCTGAACTTGCAGGACATTGCACAGCACTCGAGCCTCAACAAAGACCAGACATGGGACATGCCGTGAGCGTGCTTGTCCAACTTGTAGAGACATGGAAACCGTCATGCCAAGAAGAAGAGACTTTAAGGATCGATGTGGACATGAGTTTTCTATACAAGATTACAATTAGCTGTTGCATTCTAGGTGGTTTAAAAGATTGAAAACATTTGAACTGATTCTGTTTTGTCGTATAAGCTTTGTATGCAAGAACTTGATTTCAATTCCTGAAGATTTGTTTAGTCTTTAACTACAAAAAATGTCAAATGTTATTAATCATCTGTTCTAACAACATCCTTGTGTTTTTTTTCTTCTAATTTTTACTCTATTTTACATAGAAACAGGTTCTTATAAAGTGTAGATTCATAAAGTCAAACAATAAGGTAAATGCTTCCATTGTCGACAAATCAATAACTAAGTTTGGGACATGCAGACACAGGAACAGACTGTCACATGCAGATGCTGAAGAATCCGATCATCACCAAGTTTCTCACGTCCACATATACATAAATCAGATAATGCATTTTTTCAATCATTTTATACACAACCAATTCGGTACGTTTATAGATAGACATGAATTTAGGAACAAATTGTTATTATTATTGTTTTATCTCTTTTTTCATCTCAAAATCCAGCAGCGCCGCCAAGATTCTTAAGAATGATTTTAGTCGTGACACAGCTCATCATCGATGTTTAAAAATGAATATAAAACAACACACAGCTCATCGAATGCTTTTATTATGTGCTCTACGCCAAGTTAAATTCATCTACATGATCATAAGTCTATATAAACCATATACGAAATCATTTGAACTCATCAACTATAGTAATGCCAAGAAACAAGAACTTATCAACTAGTATACGTTATATCATATTATTTTAAACCACTTCTCTAACTATATATACATCGCAAATGTTAGCAGTAAATGTGTAATGCAATCTCAAATAAACGTAGCAATGGCGGACCAAAAATTTAGAACAATATATATATTTTTTGCGATGGTTTTTGAGTCTAAAGAGATTAATTACTTTACTTGTTTAACTTAGGTAGGTCGGTTGTATTACAATAAAATTAAATACACGTTACATCTTTTATTTTAAAACATTTTATTTGACAAATTTGGTCAAATATGAAACCGAGACCGCCTCTCTTTGGGAATCTTTTGTGAGTTCCCTGGAGATTTAATAAGCCATTGACTCTTAATTTTATTTTTTGTAAATGTTAAATAAATTCCATTTTTGTCTACTATTTTTTATAACTAGGGCGGTAAACTAATAAAGCTATAATAATATATCTTTGATGTAGACAAAAAAATACATATCCTGAAATTCAAAGACCTAAATATGAAAAATAATTTTGGTATTATTATAACATTTTTAAGTGTATAATAGTAACAAATAAACTGATAACCTTAACTGATTATGTTCAAGTAACTCACCTACCATCACTATTTTGAACAAATGCAATTATTGTTGGAAAATCACCAAAATAGGAGTGTACAAAATACATAAATAGAGAGATTCCATGAGAAAGTAGAAGAAAAAAAAATGATGAAAAAAAATCCTACTTCTCTATATATCTATCATCTTATCTTACACAACACCTAATTAATGTGAAGAGCTCAATCTAAGAATCCCATTGAAAGTGTAACAATCTAGCTACTAAACTTGGTCAAGATCGATCATAGCTTTATCTAGTTACAATGCTTAGAACTTCACCTTAAGCAATACGTCAATACCTAGAACAAAGACTAATGAAGAACTCGACTAATTAACTCTAATTATAGTGTCTACATTGAGCGAGTTCAACCATGGATCCTTCTGTTTCTTTCATTTCTCATAAATTGCATAAGTTTCACTCATACAATTATAAAATTAAGAGAATTGGAAAAAAATAAAAAATAATAACATTACACAAGTTATTTTGGTTTTATATTACCCAAACATTGCATGTTATCATAAATTTCTCTATAGTATAAAATAACCAATCAAGTTGCATAATAAATTAAGAATTCCCCATTTATGGAAACACAATAAATATATTTTGCTCCACGCGAGCTTTCGAATCACAGGTCTGCAAGGCTGCAGCAATCAGTGCAATGAATGTTTCGAATCAATAGGTTACGCCGGTCAAACACAATTCTATAGTATAAGCTATTAGCCATTAGCCACCACACTATACACAACCTTTGTGGTCCTCATCCACCACAAAATAGGCTTCTCAAGATGTTCGACCACATTTTAAACTAAGAATCATTTTTCTCAACACACAAATAAATAAATAAATAAATAAAACTCCATTATTACAATATTACATCCTTAAATTAAGCTTTCATTTCTTAATTACCGACCATACTACCAAACACAAATTATGATTCTCAATTAATCTCCATTATCACAACCACCTTCTCTTCAATAATCATCTCAATCAATTTCACCCTTTTTCCCATTATTACAATCCATATCTTAAACATATATATATCACAATCTCAAAAAAAAAGGAAAGAAAAAAACAGAATCTCTTTATTCATTAATTATTACATCTTTACATAAAAATTAAAAAGGAAACAAATATTTTTAAAAACGCGTATTTTCTGTTTTTTTTTTTAATATTTTATAATTTTTTAAAACGGAACGGGACGGGACGAAACGGTTAGGTTTATAATAGTAATGAGACACCTCACTCTTCGCTTGCTTCCCATTCATCATCTCTCTCTCTTCTTCCAAAAAAAATCAAAACAGAACAAAATTTACCAAACCCTACCAATCTCTCCATCTTCTTCTTCTTCTTCTTCTTCATCTCCCTCTTCATCTTCAACACGCCGCGCGTGTTCTCTTAATCAATGGAGGCTCCAACGCCTCTCCTCCTTCTCTTCCTCCTCCTCCTCACCACCACCTTCCTCTCCACATCCGTCGCTGACGATGCGGCAGCAATGCTCGCTCTAGCTAAATCTTTCAATCCTCCGCCGTCAGATTGGTCGGCAACAGCGTCGGCTAATTTCTGCAAATGGACCGGCGTGCGTTGCGCTGGAGGTCGTGTTACTTCAATCAGCCTCGCTGATAAATCTCTCTCCGGCTTCATCGCGCCTGAGATCTCGACTCTCTCTGAGCTCAAAACCGTCGCTCTTCAGCGTAATCAGCTCTCTGGTAAAATCCCTTCGTTTGCTAAACTCTCTTCTCTTCAAGAGATCTATTTAGATGAGAATTTTTTCGTCGGAGTTGAAGCCGGAGCTTTCGCCGGACTTACTAGTCTTCAGATCTTGAGTTTGAGCGATAATACAAAAATTACTCCTTGGGGTTTTCCTTCGGAGCTCGCTGATTCGTCTTCCCTCACTACGATTTACCTCGATAGCACCAACATCACCGGAGTTTTGCCGAACATTTTCGATTCCTTCGCTTCTCTTCAAAATCTCCGGTTATCTTACAACAACATCACCGGAGTGTTGCCGCCGTCGCTTGCGAAATCTTCGATTCAGAATCTGTGGATCAACAATCAACAAACTGGTATGTCAGGAACGATCGAAGTGCTTTCGAGTATGACGTCCTTGTCACAAGCTTGGCTTCAGAAGAATCAGTTCTCTGGACCGATCCCGGATCTCTCCAAGAGCGAGAATCTCTTCGATCTACAGCTCCGGGACAATGCTTTAACCGGAATTGTACCTCCGACGCTTCTTTCACTCGGAAGCTTGAAGAACATTACTTTTGATAACAATAAGTTTCAAGGTCCTTTACCTTCGTTTCCACCGGAGGTTAAAGTAACCAGTGACCACAACTATTTTTGTACTACTAAACCTGGACAGAGCTGTAGTCCTCAGGTGATGACGCTTTTAGCTGTGTCCGGCGGTTTGGGATATCCGTCAATGCTGGCCGAGTCTTGGAAAGGAGATGATGCTTGTAGTGGTTGGGCTTATGTTTCTTGTGATTCAGCTGGGAAGAATGTTGTCACGTTGAATCTTGGGAAACATGGATTCAATGGCTTTATATCTCCGGCCATTGTGAATCTCACTTCTTTGAAGAGTATTTACCTCAATGACAACAATTTAACTGGTGTTATCCCCAAGGAGTTGACATCGATGACTAGTTTGCAACTAATTGATGTCTCAAACAACAATCTCAAAGGGGAGATACCGAAGTTTCCAGGTTCGGTGAAGTTTAATTACAAGCCGGGTAATTCTTTGTTGGGCACTAATGCTGGAGACAGTTCAACACCTGGAACTGGTTCTGATGCTAGTGGTGGTCCTGGTGGGTCTTCTGGTGGTCATAGTGGTAGTAAGGCTCCAGTGATCATTGGTGTTATTGTGGCGATTTTGGTTTTTCTTGCCATCCTAGGATTTGTGGTTTACAAATTTGTTATGAAAAGGAAGTATGGTAAGTTTAATCGGACGGATCCTGAGAAGGCTGGGAAGATTTTGGTTAGTGATGCTCTATCTAATGGTGGTGGTAGTGGTGGATATGCTAATGGACATGGAGCTAATAACTTCAATGCATTGAACAGTCCTAGTAGCGGTGACAATAGTGATCGTTTCCTTCTTGAAGGCGGAAGTGTTACCATTCCAATGGAGGTTCTTCGTCAGGTTACAAATAACTTTAGTGAGGATAACATATTGGGCAGAGGTGGTTTTGGTGTTGTGTATGCCGGAGAGTTACACGATGGAACAAAGACTGCAGTCAAGAGGATGGAATGTTCAGCAATGGGTAATAAAGGAATGAGTGAGTTTCAGGCCGAGATAGCAGTACTCACTAAGGTCAGGCATAGACACTTGGTTGCTCTATTGGGTTACTGTGTGAACGGGAACGAGAGGTTGCTTGTCTACGAGTACATGCCACAGGGAAATCTTGGACAGCATTTGTTTGAGTGGCGTGAGCTTGGATACTCTCCTCTGACATGGAAACAGAGAGTCAGTATCGCACTAGACGTGGCACGAGGTGTGGAATATCTTCATAGCTTGGCGCAGCAAAGCTTCATCCACAGAGATTTAAAGCCCTCTAACATCCTTCTAGGAGATGACATGAGGGCAAAGGTTGCTGATTTCGGACTGGTTAAGAATGCACCAGATGGGAAATACTCTGTTGAAACAAGATTAGCAGGCACATTCGGTTATCTAGCACCAGAATATGCTGGTAAGTTCATTCTTCTTATCTCTACTCTTGTTAATTTCACAATGTGCCTAGTCTGTGTTATGCAATGGGTATATACATTCTGCCATTACGGTTTCATGTTATTTGTGCTTATAGTAGCTGCATTAGATACTGATGTTATACTATTTGGTTACAGCTACTGGAAGAGTAACAACGAAAGTGGATGTGTATGCATTTGGAGTGGTTCTTATGGAAATACTAACTGGAAGAAAAGCTTTAGATGATTCATTACCAGACGAGCGATCTCATCTAGTAACATGGTTCAGAAGAAACCTAATCAACAAAGATAACATCCCAAAGGCGCTCGACCAAACCTTAGAGGCCGATGAGGAAACAATGGAGAGCATATACAGAGTTGCTGAGCTTGCAGGACACTGCACAGCCCGCGAACCTCAACAAAGACCAGACATGGGACACGCGGTAAACGTGCTAGGTCCACTTGTAGAGAAATGGAAACCGTCGTGCCAAGAAGAAGAAGAGAGTTTCGGGATCGATGTGAACATGAGTTTACCTCAAGCTCTTCAGAGATGGCAAAACGAAGGAACATCATCATCTACAATGTTCCAAGGAGACTTCTCATATTCTCAGACACAGTCTAGTATCCCTCCAAAGGCCTCTGGTTTCCCTAACACATTTGATTCAGCTGATGGTCGGTGACACCAAACTTCGTGTCGATCTGTGTCAAATCGGTGTTACTAAGTTTTATTCATTTTGGCTTTTACCTTTTCTTCTTCTTAATGATATTTATATAAATATTGTAAGCACATATATATGCTGTATTCGCGTCTGACCACTTTGAGCTTTTGCATTTGTTCATTCTTTCTAAGGAAAAAAATTGTATTACGTAGCTTTGGTTTTGGAAAAAAAATGGAAGATTTGAAAACTAACGTTAGTTTGAAGTGTTGTAAGCCTGTAACTAGGAATATTTTACTTAGTTGTGATTTGTGAACAAAGTCTGTTATTTTGTTTTGGTTTTTAGTTAGTTTAAATTTATGCCGCGTGAAATGGATATGACTTCTTAGAAAATTGTAAACGTCTTAATCATATGATGAGTCTTTTACAGGCTGTGTTTAATTGTGAAGCTAAAGAAGCCAAAGACTTATTTGCCACCACCATTCATGGCTCAAATTTTGGATAATCTTTAGGGAGTTTTGTTTGTTGTGTTTTGACTGTTTGTTGTGTCACAATCTCTTATTTGGTTTCTTTAACTAATTCTTATCTACTTAATTTTGTGATAAACTACTACATTGGTTGGTTATCACAAAATGAGAAGAACATCTAATGTATTATGATGTATGACTAAAGGTTAATATTAGAAGCACTTTGGAATGTATTTGTGTAAAGAGAGTAAGAAATGGGTCGGATCTTTTTGGGAAAAAAGAAACATGTTAATCATTCTATTTTAACGTTGGAATAAATTTGCATGGTAAGAAAGTGATAAAGAAATAAAGTGATGGGGGAAAAAGAGAGCACACAACACACATATATCGGGCTGGCGAGAAATTGATTTGGAGACAGCAACTTTAGGTGTTGAAGCATATGGGAGAATGGGTGATGCATAAAAAAGAATGTCAAAAGTATATAAAGATCCAACTTTAAAAGTGAATAAAGAAGAGAGAGTAGCATGTTACTATATTCCCCATTCATATTCTTTAGTTTTTCTTTAATAAAAAAAAGGGAATTAAAGATGGATTTATGTATATGTTTCTTTTTGTAATACATAAAAGATGAGATTTAAGGTTTATGTGTTAAGGTTTTCTTCATTTTTTTTCTTGATAAAAACATTATATATTTTTACTTCATGTATTTGGAAAAAGATAAGTTACTATATTACAAAAGTAATTGGAAAACAGCTTAAAAGATTTGAGAATGTTTAATTCCAAATGTCTTATTAATCATTACTCATAAGCTTTGTTTTTTTTTTTTTTTTAATATAAGAAATGGACATATGAATCATTAATTAGAAGACAAAAAGGTTCAAAAGACAAAGGCTAATAACCTTTTTGTGTTCTGTCTAAATTATAATATTCTTTAGGAACATATTCACATGTGCATTGGTGATTTGGTGTCTTGACTTTATCCTCTCCATAATGATTCCACAACGCTAATCTATTGGTTAACTTATTTATTTAAATCGCATTTAGTATTAAGCTAATGTGATACTAGTGTTAATGGATTTTGGAAACGCGTTATAAAAAAGATCAAACTATACCCTTTCTGACACCCCCACACGTAAGATGTCTTGTGCTTAAAGAGTCTAAAATACTCTGATTTTATCATCTATGCTAAGACTAATGTCATGACATCACATAGATTCTCTTTTGAATGTGGTCTGACCTACTTTTTAACTTATTATGATTACTTAGCTCTCTTGCTAATCTCTACCTCTAATTTGTCTTATATTATATCTAACCACAAGTTACACTTTCAAGATTTTGGCCAACTGTACAAGACTACAAGTAAGATACGTTTGGGGACCAAATAAGAAGGTGCGTTAGTAGACCTTAGCTAGATAAGAAGGTAATTACAAAAAAAAAATGTATAGTGAAAGCCCAACAAAGGCCTATGGATTAAGACATCTACTTTTTTTTTTTATGTTCCACTAGATTACATAAAACCCAAGTTTTTGATTAGAAAAAACGAAAATGACTTCCTCATTGAACGGTTCAAAACTCTCTTAACATCATAATGAAACACACACAATCTTTATCACTCACTTTGCTTCATCTTCTTCTCATTGTGGAAACAATAGACAGGAGCTTGCCATTTCTCGTCTTCTAGGACAGCTCCAACCTCAAATGTCATCACATGAGCTTCCCTCCCTGCAATTTATATATCTTTCAGTATTTGGTTATCATCTTAAGCAAGAGACATAACAAAAATGACTCATAAGTCAATAGTATCCATCACTTTTTACCTGTATGAAATATCCATTGTACAGGTCTCTTGGTGACAACATCCTCATAATACTGTAAGAACTCAACTTTCTCCCATACATTGCATAAAAACCCATTTACTTGTTGTTGACCCAAATAGTTTGCTCCATCTAGCCAATTTGGCCTCAAGATTCCAACCTTGAATCGAGTTAGACAATCACATTTCCAATTCTAGTCTCAGCAACTTACTAGGATACAGTTATGTTTCTGAAAAGTGAAACCAATCAAGATCTACAAAATCAACTCTAACATAACGATTCCATAAACTTAAGTGTATCATCTAAAAACAGTGCTCTGAAACCTTATGTTTCTATCATAAACAAAACTTTCCCATCCAAAGTCTTAAGATCTTTAAAGAATGTAATCCAAAATATTCTCCAGTCCTCCTCACTATTCTGAATTAGGTTCCCATTGTGGCTCATTGCAGCTTATCATTATGACCATCACTAGAGTGAGTTGTTAATCTCAGAAGAAGATATGATTCATCTATCAAAGAAAAAACCAAAGCATTACTGTGGGCTCACATTGACACGAAAACACCCATTTGCTTATAACAAACACAGAGATCTTAGAAGGAAGAGTAGGCCATACTCTCCAAATGTAGAAGAGAGATAATAGCTAACTTCAAAAGGTCTTAATTGAATGAAATATCACCAAAGTAACTTAGGACAGACTCTCCAAGTTTCTTTTCAGTGCGTTTCAGTTTCTAAACAAAGCCAAAAACACTACACAATTCAAAAGATTCAGAAAGTTCTCTTCGTCTTGCTTCAAAATGTTATATAGTTTGGTAGTTCTTTAGCCAAAACACTACATATTCTCCTCAAAATCAACATACGCAGCAAGAAGCATACATATGTGTCACTATGCATTACGAAATGCACACTAAGAGAGTGGTCATTATGCAATGTACATCTCTAAAAGCCTATCACAATCTAAATTCAAAAGGTCTTATAATTCTTCTTATTTCTTTAAATTTGATCAATCTCTTACTCAATTATACTATAAATTCTCCAAAAAACCAGACATAAAGAGCAAGAAAGTTTCTTGAAGAAACAGAGGAAGTGATAATACTAACCTCGAAATGAACGGTGCGGCAGGTTCTGGATTCGTCGAGGGAGTAATAAAAAGAAGTGCCATTGTTCCATTCGAGGTCATAGGTGAGCTTACCAAGCTGCTTCTGAATGATGTTAAAGTTACGTCCATTGACCCAGTCGTACCAAAGATCCAGAACTTCCAAGGATCCGGATTTATTCATCACCAACAATGCGTGAAACTGCTCCGGCCATGGCGTAGGAACCGGCTCATCAGCGGCGGCTGAGTGAACGACGAAGAGAACGAATAGGGAGTAGTAGATTGGTCTGAAGGACATGTCGTTTGGGCTAAGCCACGTATGTACTCTGGTTTCAGACAGATGATAACACTTAAACAACAGTCACAGTAACGTATTATTTAGATATCTTTCCACCGTGGAATATCTTATTAAATATTAGGTGAAATACATTTATGAAAATAGAAACTAAATTGAAATAAAAATGATATACTTGAACTCAAATAGTTGTGTTGGACAAATTTATTTGTGTATTAGATCGTTTTTATATATCATTCATAAATTATAGTTTGTAGTAATGCGGTTCAAAAAAATAAAATATTTTTTTTTTTTTTAAAAACTACCGTTTTTTATATAAAGTTAAATTGTTGACGTATTAATCCGTTTATTTGTAAATCCATTAAAAGCTTTGGTTTGCAATAAAATTGCTAACAAATTAGTCCCGCTTTAACCACAACATCCATTCATAGCTTTAAAGAACATATCAATAATTTCATTTTTGATGTAAATAACATTTTTTGTTGATGAAATATAAATTTAACATTCAACTAAGACATTTTTAAAAATAATTAACAGTATGTCTACAAAGTTTGTGTGAACAATTTGGCAAAGCATTCTTGGTAACCTTTGAACCAGCAAACTAACCAATCTTCTTTAAACTTTATATACTCACTTAAGACACAAATTAAAAAAGAAAAGAAACACCAAAAGAACTGTGAGAATTCAAGATTAAGCAAAAAGCTTTTCTTGCATGAATGATTAGATATCATATCTAATCTTTCAAAACACAATCCCTTAAATACTCTTCAACAATGTCTCTTCTCCTTCATCCCAAATCACACTCACCACTCTCCTCTCATACAAAACATAAAACAATGTCTCATCTTGCTCTCTTCCTCTTCACTCTCCTTGTCCTTTCAAGTAAGTCTCCTCCTTACATACATATACATTAGGATTACTTAAAACACAATCTTTCCTTTTTTAACTCTCTTTATGTTTTTTTTTTTTATATACAGGTTCATGTTGCTATGCGATTGGTTCCCAAAACAACAGAACAGTGTTAGCACTTGCAAGCAGGATTGGGATCAACTATGGTAAACTAGGCAACAATCTTCCTTCTCCTTACCAATCAATTAACCTCATCAAAACCATTAAAGCTGGCCACGTCAAGCTCTATGACGCTGATCCAGAAACCCTAAAACTCCTCTCAAAAACCAATCTTTACGTCACCATCATGGTCCCTAACGACCAGATCATCTCAGTTGGCTCTGATCAAGCCGCTGCTGACAAATGGGTTGCCACCAATGTCCTTCCTTTCTACCCGCAAACCCGAATCCGATTCGTCCTCGTTGGAAACGAAGTCCTCAGCTACAGTTCTGACCAAGACAAGCAGATATGGGCCAATCTTGTCCCTGCCATGCGTAAAGTTGTGAATTCTCTTAGGGCTCGTGGGATTCACAACATCAAAGTCGGGACTCCTCTTGCCATGGACGCTCTTAGATCGAGCTTTCCTCCGTCGAGTGGTGCATTCCGGGAAGATCTCGCTGTTCCGGTGATGTTACCATTGTTGAAGTTTCTCAATGGAACAAACTCTTTCTTCTTTCTTGATGTTTACCCTTACTTCCCTTGGTCTACTGATCCGGTTAATAACCATTTGGATTACGCTCTTTTCGAGTCGAATTCGACTTATACCGATCCTCAAACCGGGTTGGTTTACACCAATCTTCTAGACCAGATGCTCGATTCGGTTATCTTTGCAATGACCAAGCTCGGTTATCCGGACGTCCGTCTCGCAATCTCTGAAACCGGGTGGCCTAATTCAGGTGATATCCACGAAACCGGTGCTAATGTTCTCAATGCCGCGACGTATAACCGGAATTTGATCAAGAAGATGACTGCTAACCCACCACTCGGTACACCAGCGAGGCGCGGTGCACCTATACCGACGTTTTTGTTCTCCTTGTTCAATGAAAACCAGAAACCCGGTTCGGGAACAGAGAGGCATTGGGGGATTTTGAATCCTGACGGTACACCGATCTACGAAATCGATTTCACCGGTACAAGACCGGTTTCAAGCTTCGGTGAGTTGCCTAAACCGGATAACAATGTGCCGTTCAAGGGAAACGTGTGGTGTGTGGCGATAGATGGGGCAAGCGAGGCAGAGTTAGGGCAGGCACTCAACTTTGCTTGTGGGAGAAGCAATGAAACTTGCGCAGCTTTGGCGCCGGGAAAAGAGTGTTACGCGCCAGTCTCTGTTTCTTGGCATGCAAGCTATGCATTTAGCTCATACTGGGCTCAGTTCCGGAACCAAAGCTCTCAATGTTACTTTAATGGCTTGGCTCGTGAGACTACGACTAACCCTGGTGAGTTTCTCTAAACTTGTCTCACAAGCAAAACTTTGAGTATACGTAAATGAGACTACATATACCAAGTTACCAAACACATACTACTTTTTTTGATTATAGGAAATGAGCGTTGCAAGTTCCCTAGCGTTACTCTGTGAGGCAGTCTCGTGTGACTCATGGTGCGGTGTGGAGAAGAAAGGATCAAAAGCTGGATCATTTCGTATTAAGTCAAATCTAATTCTTGATCATTGTTGTTAATTTCCTTTTTATTCTAAGCTTCTACGATCCTTGTTTTCTATTGTTGAGAAAGATCCAGTAATCTATTTAAAACAAATGTGTTACTATTTACTAATATTTCAATGCGAAGATTGCAATCCCACTGATCTTGACTTATTTATCTAGTTGACTAAGTAGTGTAATACTCTTTTGAAGAACATTATGAGAATTTTATAAGTAATTCAAGAACATGATTTTGCTCTCATTATTACCATACGATCATATGACATATTGTGATTAAACTAAAGCATAATATTCAATAGTTTTCTTGCTTCTTCTTGTTTACCAAAGTTAAAGGAAGGAAAAAGAAGACTCGTATCTCTTGAAATCCGTGCATGAGCACAGAAGCGATCGCATTATGTATGTAAAACAATATAACCACTAAAATGTAGTCATGACTCATGAGTCATCCCACTAGTAGACAACAAAATTCTTATTTTTGTCTTGTTTGAGTTTTATACTATCTTAATCTATATTTTTATGCTATTTATATAATTATGTTACAATGACAACAACAACAAATATAACTATTTATTTAGAATTTTGTAATATTTTCTTAGAAAAAAACATATATTCTTGAATTAGAATACATAATTCAATAGAATCAATACAACCTTACAATTTTTCAAAGTAAATATAAAAAAAATTATTAAATTTGGGACATCATAAAAGATGATTATTGGTAAGATTGATTTATAAGTTAAAAGAGAGACAGATAAAAATTAAATTCAAAATTTGTAAATAAAGTATAGTAATAAAACATCCTATATTAGTGTAAGTGAAGTATCATCAACTCTGTTTTTGTTTTTATTATTATCTCTGAGTGTCTCTGAAGTTGCCATGCTTCTGTAGCGGTGCCAACCAACTTGGAACTGATCTTTCTTTCTTTCTTTTTATTTTTTTCATAATCGTAATCACGATATCGTCATGCTCTCTCGTCTCTTTCTTCTACCTTTCTTGTTTCTTCCTCTCTTTCTATTTCTCCTCTCATCTCTCTGTGCAAGCAACAAGCTCACAATAGCCCTTTCTGCACCCTCTCTTCTTCAACCATGGCGTCGTCCACGTCTCTTGGACCTTCGATTCTCGTTTCCCACTGCTCCTCTGCTCCTGAATTTCAAGTTTCTGGGATGAGATTGGTGTTTGGTTACAAGGGTTTTGGTCGTCGAACTTCACGACGGGGGTTTCGAGTTCGCTGCGAGTCCACGGCGAGCTCTTTAATCACTCACTTTGAACTTTTTCTTTTATGGGTTCGATTTTTTTGATGAGAAGTAGATTAAAAATTCTTCCTTTTTGGTTTGTGGACTTTAAAAATTGCTCCTTTACTTTGATTTTAGAAGTAAGTAATCTGAGGAAATGATTTGACTTTGGGGTTGGTTCACGTTTAACTGTTGCACTAAACCTGACAACTAATGAAAGCTGAAATGATTTGACTTTGGGGATGGTCTTGTTAGTTTAGGATACTTGTCTAAGTTTAAGTCTTATGAAAGCTGGAGTTTGATTTTGAATGATCTGTAACATCAATTTTGTAATTTTCTTTCTGCTATAGATTCAAGAGAAGGAGTTAAGGCGGTGTTCGCCTTTCTTGGAACGCTCATCATTGCCAAAGGAGGTTGCTTTACGCTCTAATGAATGGAAGGCTGTTCCTGATATTTGGAGATCATCTGTGGAAAAGTATGGTGACAGAGTTGCGGTGGTGGACCCTTATCATGACCCGCCAACTACATTCACGTACAGACAGGTAACACTGCGTTGCATCTCATGCTAGAGTCACTTTGGGATCTCCATACTTTTGGAACAACAGAGGAATTTTAAGCAAGAGTCAGAACTTAGGGAAACAACTGGAATACAAGAGTTAAGATTAATTGGCCTTAAGCTTTATGTCTTTATCTATTAGCTCTGTAATGTATAGACATTCTGAAGCTGCAGGTCTTATCTGCTTGTTAAATAAGTGAAGGTTCTGAAGATGAACCATATGTAGATGTTTGGAAGCATACTTTCTAATGATTATTGTCAGGCACTCCCTTGGTGGTTGTTAGTTTTAGTATATGTTAGGAACCAACGTTGTTTCAATTATTGTGCACCTCCTTTTCGGAAACTGTATGTCTGCCTGACAAGTAGGTGGGAATAACTTTTGAAGTTTTAGTGTTGTTAAATTTGGATTAGCAGTTTGATGCTTTCATTTCAATCATCTTCAACTGCAGTTGGAACAAGAAATTTTGGACTTTGTTGAGGGTTTGCGAGTGGTTGGAGTGAAAGCAGATGAGAAGATTGCACTTTTCGCCGATAACTCTTGTCGGTGGCTTATTGCTGATCAAGGTATTTGGTTGATTATGTAGAAAACTTTGAATTCTTAGCTATAGGAAAATCATAATTATTACATAATTTTCGTAAAGCTTGAGCCTTACCCTGTATTGGATGATTTCATTAAACTTGGAAAACTGAGCTTGTGAGTGCTCTTACACATTATTTATCAGTCATTATCATTCCAGAGACAACCAGTGATCTGTTGAGATATGTTTTGGGCTGTTTCTGCTTCAACTATTCAAACACCTAAATAACATCTCTCCATTATTTACATGTCTTTGAAAGGGAAAATGTTCCAACCTTAAGGCTTCTAAAGCTCTTACTTTAGTTCGAGCCTTTCACTGGCTAAATTTCATGCCTAAAGAAGTGAAAGTCTAGTTAGAATTTTTCATTTGAGGAAAGCTATATTGCATTCCCAGTTCGCAATAACCTTAAGATGCTCACAGGTTAAGTTGTTTTAACTCTGCTTTACTGGAATAATTCTAATTATGTTGTTTGGTTCTTCGATTTTTCTTTTCCTCCGCAGGTATTGGTATGTTTACGCACATTTTACTACTTTATGCCAGGTATAATGGCTACAGGAGCAGTCAATGTTGTTAGAGGTTCCAGATCCTCTGTTGAAGAGTTATTGCAGATATACTGTCATTCGGAAAGGTATGCCTAGAACTTTTGTTCTTTTGTTGTTTCAAGTGAATGTCTTACTCGAGAGAGAAGTTAGCAAATTACTTAAGTCATACTTACCAACCACATTTACTTACCAATTGTCATCAAAATTTCTTGTTTTCATGCCAATTTTAGAACTTCTATCACGTCAGATATCATCTTGCTGTTTTGCTGAGTCTTGAATAGGTGTAATTTTAGTCAACATCATGATTTCGCATTTGTCGTATCATTCTTTATGATGACGCTTTCCTAGAGAGGGGTAGTTAATCAAGGAGATTCGTAGATGACAGAGACATAAGTCTTTGGTCTTTCAATATGATGTGTACTGCCTGATTTCGTGCAGCTAATGTCTCCTGTTCCTTGTTTTCAAATTTATTTAAAGTACGGAGTTGTGTCTCTGCCTTGCAGTGTAGCTCTTGTTGTGGATAACCCTGAGTTTTACAACCGCATTGCTGAGTCATTTTCTTACAAGGCACCTCCAAGATTTGTGATTCTTCTATGGGGTGAAAAATCGTCATTGGTTACAGTGGGTAGGCAGACACCAGTCTATAGTTACAACGAAATTAAAAGATTTGGACAAGAGAGACGCGCAAAATTTGCAAGATCTAATGATGCTGGTAAGTGCAACATCTTGTATTTCTTACATAGCACTTTTAGTGTTTTTGGCAGTGCTAAAAAATGAATGACTGCAGGAAAGTATGAATATGAGTACATCAATCCAGATGACACAGCCACAATTATGTATACCAGCGGAACCACGGGAAATCCAAAAGGTGTTATGCTCACACATCAGAATTTGTTACACCAGGTTCAAGCCAATACTTCTAGTCAATTTATGTTTACCTTTATAAAATACTGAGTTTGCTATTACGTTCTGAAACTATTTTTTTGTTCTTTTGGCATCTTGACTTACTCTACAGGTAAAAAACTTATCCGACTTTGTGCCTTCTCAAGCTGGGGAAAGATTTCTAAGTATGCTGCCATCATGGCATGCCTATGAACGGGCTTGTGAATACTTCATATTTACATGTGGAGTAGAGCAAAAGTATACTTCTATAAGATTCTTAAAGGTAAGTCTTTTTGTGTTATTGTTACAGAGTGACAAATTAAAAAAACATCTTATCCTTGGAAGTGAGAGACGATGAAACTTCGCACTGGGTCAAGCATTTCATTTATACTTTTCCCTTTGACTTTGAAGCTTATTTTTTGTTTTTGGTACAGGATGATCTCAAGCAATATCAACCACACTATCTCATTTCAGTTCCTTTAGTGTATGAGACGCTCTACAGGTATGCTACTTCACAAGTTTTTTTTGTTTGCACAAGATTCAAATACTTTCAGATAGGTTCTATTGATACTGAAGTTTACTGATAAGAGCTTATAAGTGTTCATATTCATATGTTGTATATATTTCAAAGCCATCTCTTGCAACTGAAAGCTAAGTCTAAGATTTCCTTTATGGCTGTATCTACTCTGTCTCTTCCATCATTTTAATCACCAAATTTTTATCAGCATCCTCAACCATGTTAATTGATAGACATTTTTCTCTCGTTTGTGAGAATTACAGCGGGATTCAAAAGCAAATTTCTACAAGCTCCCCGGTTCGTAAATTTTTGGCCCTTACACTGATCAAAGTCAGCCTTGCATACACGGAGATGAGAAGGATTCATGAGGTTTGCGAACCAGATGTGTCTTCTTTAGTATTCCATACTGCCTAATAGTTCTGGTTAATAGAGTTTTTCTGGTTGTTCCTATTCGTGATGCATGGAGTTGTGATAATTTCTTTGCTCTTGTATGCAGGGTCTTTGTTTGACAAAAAATCAAAAGCCTCCAATGTATATTGTTTCGTTGGTGGATTGGTTGTGGGCGAGAGTAGTTGCATTTTTCCTATGGCCATTGCATATGTTGGCTGAAA